AATGCTATATCTAGCTTTCAAGAAGGACACTGAAAATGAGAGAATTCAGAAAAGCCAGAAGAATAAATCTGAAAAAGAACAATCATTTTGCTGATAGACTTGAGAAGCTTAATTCCTACCTCAGAAGGAGATATGGAGTAACTTGCTTACCATCTAAAAACAATTCACAAAGTAAAGATGAAGTTAATCAAATATACTAGCAGAAGAACTGTCCATAGGATGGATTTTTCCATCCAGAGTAACTTTCAATTTAAAAAGGTAAAATATATATTTTATTTTTTTCCAAAGAGAAATTTGGTCATTGCAGCTCTGCTTTTCAAGCCAGAGAGTTGTGGCTTGTGTATTATAGATTAGATTGGATGATTAATGAACTTTTGTGGACTGGAGAAATGGCTGCAGTGGGATCAACATTTCTGTGATGGAAAGGCTTGTCAGATCCAGCACCTTTTACAGGCGAGAGATCATCTCAGTGTGCCATAGAAAGTGTTCCTGTGATAATAAGGGAGTCTGCCTGAATCTGGCCTGGAGTATGTGCAGTCTCAAGTTTGTCTCCCTTACACTGTTACATGAGGCTTTTATTCAGGGCTGTTAACTTGGTTCTCCTCTCCCCTAGTGAGTCTTTAATTTCACTGAAAGTGGGATCTCTAGTATGTTTTGTTTAGGTTCTTTTTGGGATTTGTTTTTTTGTTGGGGTTTTTTTGGGATTTTTTGTTTTTGTAGGCTTTGGGTTGATATTTTTCCCTACTTTTACTTCCCTATTTTCCCCTAATCAGGTGCGTTTAAAGAACATTTGCAGTATAGAGGAGTCCTGTATAATATCCAGACTTCTCTCTGGCTGGGTGTTGTTCTTCTGGAGACTGTGTTCTTTTTCTTTCTCCTGATGCTAAGAAGGGTTTTATTATTCAGTAGAAATGCAACAGCTTTTGCCAGAATACTTAATGTTTGTTTTAATATGCTTATGTAAGGTTAAAATGTACTTTTATCCTAACCTCACTAATACCTCCAAATTTGTTTTTGACCATGTCTAGAAACATCATAGGAAAGTACAGGTCTTTGGGGAATGGTCAGATGATCTTCTATTTGGGGTTTAGAGTTAGTGGCTTGGATTTACATATTAGACAGAGGAGCAAAGCTTTAAGTTCCATGAGCAATATTTTGATGGTTAAGTGAGGCTTCTGAGCATAAAAGAAATGGTAGTTTGGACAGCTTCCTTATAGGCTTGTTTGATTCTGGGACCCTGAGCCTGTGGTGAAAACTGATTCTGAGACTGAAGCTCAGTGGGAGGCATCTCTTGAAATTAGGTGATATGAGAGTTATTACCCTACTGATAAGTTCAACTTACCTGTGATTCCAGCTGTTGAATTCATACCTGCATGTCACAACTGTAGAATGCAAATCTTCAGGTTACCTGGATTTTGTGGTGTCTCAAAACAATGGGAAAACACTAACAAAACAAATGCAGAATTATTGCTGTCATTAGTGATTGTTAAAATATGTGCACACCATTCTGCTGAAGTTGATTGCTTATTTGCATGCTTAGTGATATCTGCAATCAAATAATTTCCTAATGATTAGGATTTTTGATGTACTCCTGAGAGAAGTTGTTGCTTAATTTTCCTCTGGAGTTTGCTAAATGGCTCAAATTGTTTGCAGTGGCTACACTTTGAAGATGTAAATGTGCAGGGAATCTGTTTTTCTTACCAGGCTTCTATCCTATAAATAACTCAGCTTACTTCTATTTAAGTTTACATGTGTTTTTCTGGAACGTGACTTTATATAGTTGAACCGTCCATTTCCAAACAAGGTATGAGAATCATTTGGTTATGTGTCTCCAATATATGATTCTTACATAACTGTCTTCTGTAAAACTTCTTGGTTGTCACTGAAAATGGTTTTCTGTTGATGCTATTTTACAGGTTTCTGGTACATATTGTGGCTTCAGATGAAAAATGCTAACAAGTTGTTGGCTGCACTTAATAATTTCCTTGGTGATTAAATATAGCATGACCATAAATGCCTAAGATTATCCTCAGGCCAAGTATTTGCCTAATGATTTATAATTAAACTTAGAAATGTGTATGTATTGAAAACAAGTTGCTGTTTTCATCTTGTGAGTGCCATGCTACGACCTGTTTTATGCCTTTCCTCTTTTTATACTTGGTGCTAGATTTCGTAACTCAGAGGTAGCAATCTGCTTCAAATACTGCCACATGTTGGACATTATAGTAGAGATTAGGAGAGATGCTGTATTCATAGAAATGTATTGTTTTCTTCACTTTAAGGAAATTAAAATTGCCAATAGTGTTAAAATTGCCCCTCTTGTTTCCCAAGTTTGTGGAGGGATTTCTTCTCAATCACCAAGCCACCTACTGAGTAGGTAAAAAGTACATATTTAAGTGAGCTAGTTTTCATGCAAAGTAGGGAAAAGATAAGGTTCAAAAGTTTCAATGTGCTCACATTTTTCTGCTGATGAGATAAGGATTCAGAGCAGACTCTGCCTAAGTGTCCTAAGAGCTCATTAGAAATCTACCATTAATAAGGTTTTCTTATAGTCCAGTCACTCATGACAACGCTTCTAAATGCCAGCAAGGGTTTCTAAGACAAGCTGTAACAGGTTTTATGCTCTAGAAAATTTCAGTTCTAAGTAAAACTCCGTATCCTGAGTTTGGATTCTTGGAGCTGTTGAACTGGCTGATTCAGGCACCAATATAAATATGCCTGTGACACTGTGATGCTCCCCTTTTCTTTGATTCCTTTTGCCTTATAACCACAAAGATGCTGAACTTCAGTGTAGCTCTTTTCTCTTGTATACATCATGTTTGAGAAACTACATTTCTCCTTAAAAACATTGCTTCCTAAATTATGATTTCACAAATTGTGACTTTTGTTTTCCTCTTATGGCAAACTAATTCTTTTATTCCCTGTATGCTGGTGTTGGCAATGCAAGTCCAGACTTCAGTCAGCTGAGGTAGGACTGTGTAAATCATAAGGACTCTGGAAATACAGGTGGAAACTTGACAGGTGTGAGTTAATTTTTCATTTTTCCCTATGTCTCTTTCCAAAGTAATTGCAAAGAACTAGATTTCTTCAAAGCATTGCAGATATTGGATGCTTTTTTTGGATGATCAGTTAAAAGTGTGCATTTCAGGGCTGGATGTTGCAAGCCAAGAAACCATAGCCCACCTACTTCAGCAGATTACATGCTTTCCAAATGTTGTTTTTATAATCACAGAAATAACTGAAATATAACTGGAGGCATTACAGTTTAGAGGAGACATGTCTAACATGTTTCTCTTTAGCTACACCCAAACCTTTCATGTTTACTTTTCTCAAAAGGGGAGGGGTGGATGTATTTTCTGTCTCCATCCCTTGCTGCCTTTTTGCATTACAATGCTCAGAATATCAGTGGACAGCAAATATGCACTCAGAGGTCAAACATATAGACTTTCTTTTATTCATGGTGTAGAAGGTAAATTGACTTATTTTTTAAGAGCTGATCCGTGTCAGAGCAACTTTGTGTTCTCACATGTTACATGCACTTGAACACTTGACTTTGAGGTTGCACTTGAACTTGCACTTGCTGTGGCCTAAGAGCTCAGTTCTCAAGTATAAGATGCCAGACAATTGTAAGATGTAAGTGTAGGGTGGTGTTCAGGGAACTTTTGAACTGCAAGAAGCAGGAATGTCCTCAGTGAAAAAGAGCAAAATGTGGGAATCTTGAGGAGGTAAGAGCAGTGCATTTGTTCTAGTTTATTAAAAGGCCATCAAGCTGAAGAGAAGTCTGGTTTTGTCCTGGGGCTTTTTGGACTAGCACAAACATAGTGGAAGGGTAGTGGCCAACTAACATGCTGCAGGAGTGTGTATAAAGTAAGGTCATGCAGTCAAAAGTAGTTCTTTGCCTCCTTTCTTCCTTCTTCCCCCATCCTAAATATAAATAGCAACCAATCTTGTGGTGGAGATGGGTTTAATGGTGAATGTCAAGTTTTGGAGTAATACAGGGGCTCAAGCAGAGAATAGCATCCATGTGCTTAAGATCTTTAGAAAGGTAAAAAAAAAGTGTGAAAGAGGCTTTTGTAGTATATTTATACCTGGTTCTAGGAACACTTAAAAGTGATTTCTTCCTGTAATAGTTTTAATCCAGCTGAGTCATGGCCTTATACAGCATTTAGTTAAGACTGCCTCTAAAATAAGTGTCCAATATCTGTTAAGGAAAAAAAAAATATCCTCTTACAACTGAAAATGAATAGTAGGACTTCTATGCAGAATATTTTCTGGAGAAGGTGCTGAAGCTCTTCATTTGTATGGGAGCAGGTACATTGGTTTATAGGAGTAAGAAGTTAAAGTCCATTTAGATAGTCCTCTGCTGTGAGTTTACTGCCCAATTTGAATCTTAAGAAAATCCTAGACAATGATCTCTTTAAAATGAGGTGAACTGTAGAACATGACAGAAAATCAAGAAGTGATGGCGATGCTGCTATTCATTCTTACTGGAGGAAACTATTTTCTTTGTTCCTACAGTTCTAGTTACAGCAACTGTTGAAAAATCCAGTGCATTGAAGTATTCCTGAAGTAGTATTCCAAGCAGACATTGACGTTCTCTGTTGGGTCCTTTTGTTCTATTGGCCTCCATGAGGGCTTGATTTTTTTTCTGTCACCTCTGTGTTATGGCCTTGCTGCCTTTTCACTTGGTCTGTGCTAGAATATTTAGTCCCAGAAGGGCTCTCATCCCCTTATAGGGGGAGCAGGTTGCTATCATAGCACTGTAATGCCTTGTGACTGGCATCTGGCCTGATACAGGGAATAGTTTGGCCCATGCCAAATAAATACTCTTACATAAGTAAGCATAAAGTTACAGTGATGATCACATTTAGATCACCTATTCTTTATTGCTCTTCTGAGGTTCATTTGTTCTTCAAGATAAAATTACACATCCAGTGTGAACACAGTTGATGGCTGAAAATAAATCTGTTTGCATAACCTTTTACTGTTCTTTGTTGCAGCTCTCAAGTTCCACTTACAAATATAGGAGTGAGGAATTCAAGAGACAGTTTTCTCATCTGCCAGACTCAGAGAGACTCATAGTAGGTAAGAAGTAATCACAGAAAAAGTCTTTGTCTTCTGTTTGGTGACTTCAGATTGCAGTCATGTCAAAGCATTTTGTGGTTTTTTTATGGCAAATTCTGACTACAGGTGATAACTGTCTATTCTCCTGTCTTTGAATTAGCAAAAAATACTTTCAAGGAAAGCCAGGTCCATACTCCTCTCTTCTACTGCCTGCTTTGTGGGAAAAATAAAAAAAGGGATGTTGTTTCTGAGACCCTGTTAACTAGGTAGATCATCTTCACAAAAAGCTTTCCCCTTGCTCCCTGGAACTAATACCCTTTCCCTAGGCAGCTTGATTAATGTGACTCCTGAGACAGAGTGACACGTGGGTGGTTGTAATTTAAAAGACTGTTTTTCAGATGAATGGGAGAGGAAAGAAGCAGGTGTCAGAGAATATCAAACTATGATGCATTACTTTTCTCAGCACTGAAATACTCCTTTTCCAGCTCTGTTTCACTCCACTGCAGAATCCAAAGAAGGCAAGCATGTAACCCTACCTCCTTTGCACAGGGATGCACCTTATTCCCTTCATCACCTGCCTGTGTTGTATTTATGTAACAAATACACTGTATATTTTCATACAGAAGTGGCATTGTGACTGTTTCAAGTTCATCTCTCATTTTATGCAACTTTTAAGGAAGTGAATATTGAGAGGCTGTTTAGTGTATGCTTGGAGTATGCAAGCAACAGCTCTGAAGCAGTTAAATCCCTGTGTCTTTCTCCAGTCTCAAGAGGCAGTTATCCTCTGAAATGCCTTATGCATTTTTAAAATACTTCAGTAGGGATGTGAAACAGAAGGAAAGGATATTACTTCAAAGCATTGTTTTGATGTTTGTCCTTCTGTTGGATTGATGCAGAAATCCATGGAGCAAACTCTGAAACGCAGTTTCAAAGGGACTGTGTAGGATTTAGAGGAAGATTTAGTAACGGGTTAATCTCAATCTGTTCCATAAGAAGCAAAGCCACTACTTTCATATAAATTTCTTTTACCCCATAAAAAGCAGTGTTTCCTTGAAAGGACTTCTTGCATCCTCCAAGCAAGGAGCTCTTCCTTTGCTTGGTGTAGAGAAACTTGGTCCAGGCTTTGCAGTGCTCCAAGAAACCACTGCTTGCTGCTGTTCATGAAAAGAATTGTTACTGCTTCTGTTTTTAAATCAACTGTTAAAATTAAGTAACTATTCCACTGTACTGAGCACTGTATGTAAATATTATAGAAAATAGTATTTTCTTAGGGAATTAATAGGGAATTACTTAGACCTAAATGGGAGCTTAAAGGAGTGCTATTATAATGTGCCTGAAAATGTTGTTTTCAAGCAACATATTAAGTTATGGTTCTGAAAACTTAAAAGGAGAAATGCTAATCTCTTCCATCTGTTTTGATATTCTCTTTTGTGTAGGTAGGTCAGAGTGGGATTGCTCATCAGTTGCCCAATGATGACCTCTGTAGGTCTGAATCCCTCTCCTAAAAAACACAGAAGTTAGATGCAAGCTTCTTAGTAATGCTCTCCTCAAGTCCTTAACTTCAAACTCCTGTTGCCTTCCTCTGTCAGCATTTTGGTATCTGCAGTTCTCAAACATGCACTTAGTTCTTTAGATTTAAGCTTCTGTAGTTCTAGTTACTGTTACATCTCCAAGGGCTTGTATACATGACTCATTCTTGTTATAAGGAAATTTATTTCTGCTTGATTATTTGAGGAGGAAAATGCTAGAGAATTTTAAAAATCATAATAAAAGCTTCTGTAAATGCAGATTTAGCTTGAAGTTAGGATTTTGGGGACTCCTGAAGTTCTTGGTATTTGAACAAGAACTGTATTAATTATGTTCTTGTAGAACACAAAATCAAAATTCTGGCTCAGACAATACCAGATATAAAGGTATTAGATACCTCTAAGGGCAAAATCACTAATATATATTGTATCAATACATACATTCTGCATATTTTGTGTACATTAGGTAGCCTTCTTTAGGTTGGACCTTCCCAAAGAGGTCCATCTTAATTATCTAGCAGCAGTTCTTCTGAAAATTCCTTTTGTTTCAATCTTCAGGCTCTGAAACTGGGAAAGCTCTGAGATTTTTAAGAAATGCAACTAAATCCTCTGCTCTTGTTCTTATTTAGCAGGTATCTGATTATGGGTAATTACATTGTGGATGAAATCCATTTCTCAATAGGGGTGTTTCAGTCAGAGACAGAATGATAAAAATGATAGTCAACTTCAGGAAATACCCCCTGCCTCAAGAACTGGATAGCTTCAATCTGCCTCTTAGTGTCTCACTCTGCAGATAGTTTTAGCTAGTGATAGGATCTGTTTAGTAGAAAACCATTATCTTGCTACAACATGAACTACTGTTACGTATGAATTGACAGTATAATCTGTTGTACTATAAAATGTTTGTGTATTCTGTTGTTTAGATGCTTTGAAGTTTGACTAATGAACACTTCTCCCATGTACTCCTGGTCTTGCCTGACACCTCTTCTCTGAAAACCTGAGATAGTACACAGGGGATGGAATACACAGATGGAATGCTGTCCTCACATGGATGTACCATCAGCTCTGGCTTTGGGCTGTTCCCAGAGCAATGGTCTGGATGCAAGCCAGTACAAGTCTGCCTTTGTAGACTTCTTAAAAGTGAAAGAAATGGCTTCTTATTGTATTGTAATACCCATTTCATTTTAGTTAACAGGTTTGGGTGAGCTGTGCTGCAGTCAGTGGGTGAGTAACTTGCTCTTGCTCTCTGTACACAGATTACGCCTGTGCGCTCCAGAAGGACATCCTGCTGCAAGGACGCCTGTACCTCTCTGAAAACTGGCTCTGCTTCCACAGCAACATCTTCCGATGGGAGACCACAGTAAGATCTCTTAGCTCACTTGAATCCCACCTTTTCCATGTCCTATCCTCTCAGGATATAGGATTAGAGTCTCTCAGATCTCATCCTGTCAATCTCATACTAGTAACTCTGGGCTGTGAAGAAAGAGCCTGCATCCCTGAGTGGAAATTCAAATGCATGATGTAAAATAAGAGTAGCAGGGGAGGCATCTGAATGCTGAAGTAAGCCTGTTCAGTCTGTCATTCAGCATAAGAAGTTTAGGAATTATGCTAAAGCTGGCTTATTACAGCTCTGGTAATGACAATTTGCCTTTCCTTACCATGCAAAATTGTCCTATAAAGGATGTAACACATAACCTCCTACTGTAAGTCCTGGGGCATGGCATGGTACGTGGTGTTGCCCTATTCAGAGCTCTCCTTACTTGACATAGCCTTACATGTAAATATCAGCATCTAAAAATAGCTGAAGGGAATTGATAAATGACTTCTGCAAGTTCTCATATTGTGGTCTATGGCTTTTGAACAGTACAACCAAAGGTAGATAGGTATTTGTGATATATTGGCCCTTTATTTCTATCAGATTAGGTTAATGAGTTTAAATTTATTCATTCAGATGCAGTTGTTGCATCTGCTGCAGAACTTGCATGAAACAGTGAATAAGAAAATGAAGATAACCTAGCAAACAGAGGATGGACAGGTCAAAATGTTCTGTGAACTATGAGACTGCTCATAACTTAAGTCAGTATCTCACATTTGAGTGCTCTGAAATATGCAGGACAAACAAAAAATAGCTTGTGTATTTAAGCCCGTGAGGGGCTGTAGAAATACTTAATTGAAATCTAAGCTTAATTTCATCAGATGGATTTGATGATTGAATATGTCTTATTTTAGATGTAAAATTAATTAAAAAATAAACTATAGTCTTGAATATATAATCTGTTCAAAGACTGGTTGGGTGTTTTTTTTTTTAATCCAGAGCAGTATACATCCTGGTAACCTGTTTCTGCCTGTCTAGCAGGGTGATATCTTCAGCAATACCTTTAGGCAATCTGAGCTCATCAGCTACCATGGTAGAGCCAAGTTTGAGACCTCATTAGCAGGCTGTGTTATTGCAAAGAGGGAGGGAGTAAGTGGAGAACTTCCTGCTCACACAGGAAAAAACAAGTTAGAGCTGTACCTTCCTCCTTTCTCTATGCTGAATGACAGCACAGCCTTATTTTCAAGAGAAGAGGGGGAGTAGGCTGGAAGGAAATAGCTTCTTGCAGCCAGTCAGACCATGTTCTTCTAAACAGAAACATTTCAACTACTAATACACAAGTCAAATGTGCCCAGAAAGGAAGAATTTCTTGCAGCGATAAGACTGCAAATAAAATTTTGAAAATTTACTATATTGTAAACATCTGTGAGATAGATGAGAGAGATCAGGTAACAGGCTATGTCCTGCTTTATGTATAGCATTCTGATTGGGATTGACTTTCAGATCTGTGATTTGTGTTTGGTTGGGATTGTGGCTGGAGGAGTGGAAGAAAAGCAGAAAGAACCACTTATTTCCCTAGGCCCGATGTGAAAGAAGAGGAGATGACTCTTAAGTCACCTCAGCTTCTACTTTGAAATGCTTGCTGTTAAAGCAGTAAATGGAGACAGTAATTGCCTTTGTGATCTCACCTGAATTGCATCCCAGGGTTTGGGGTTAGTTTGAGTTCTTCTTGCATGTTCTGTAACCTCTAAATTTTTAGTCATAAGTTATTTTTAATATGTCTTATTAAATGTGTTTCTGCTTAGATTTCTATTGCTTTGAAGGATATAACTTTCATGACAAAGGAGAAGACTGCTCGTCTCATTCCAAATGCCATACAAATAGCAACAAAAGGAGAGAAGGTAAAAATCTGTTTTTAAATATATTCTTACTAAATGATAGAGTCCTGAACACAGTACTTGTTCTAGTCTATGTTTGCATAAGTACTTCCCTGTCAAATGTTTAAATGTGATTGGGATTAGAAGGCAGACTTAGATTTGGTCCCTGTGCACGTTTGCTTGCTAATTCATCTCCAGTTTGACTGCAGAATCCCTTAGTGATGTTGATACAGTAACCAGAAAGTAAGTTTGTCTCACCTATTCAAAGGAAAAGTAATTCAAAGCATGAATTCAGAATGTGCATTCTTCATACTGAAAAAATATCAAAGTCACTGGATTTCAAGTACTCCTTGAAGAAAACTACTGAAAACAAAAGGACTGTGATTGATGTCATGGGTTTTGAGTAATGGAGAAATTTACCCCAGAACATGTGCTGGGAAAAGAGTTTTTAGGTGTGTATTTGAAAAACTAAAATGCATGATGCAGAGTCTTATGTGTAATACACTTTGTGATTAGTTCTTCTATAAATGCTTTAAAAATAATAATTCTTGGCAAAGAACAGAGCTTTCCACTGTGAACCTGGAGCTGTTCGCTGGGAAGCAACTGTGATTCATGATATTTGGCTGTTCCCTCTCAATTCATCCAGCATTAACTTTCATTGACAAGGAAGATAGACCTCTTTGCTTAAAAAGGCCCAGCTTTCCAATGGGAAAGATTCTAATACTTGAAATTATGCATGTAATTTGATCTCCTATTTTAATTATTTTAATTTCACAGCATCTTGGGTGAAAAAGTTAGTAAAAGGCTTATGGGGCAGTAGAATGGAAATAGCTGTGGCCTGTGAGAAACAGGCATATGTGTTTCTGATTTGTTCAACCTCCTGTGGGAAAAATTTAAGTGTGTTTAAGGTGAGGAGGGAGCTCTTCCTTTATACCAAGGGTAGTGACATGGCCAGAACAGCCTGTGTCTTCATTTACTGTGTGGACATTGGGGAAAATCATCACTTGAAAGTGATTCAAACTGTGGAACCTGAGGAATATGACCCCAGGTTTGTTGAATGTGAAATGAGTCAAGCTGTTACTGATGACCTTGGGCTATTCAAGATACAAGGAAGCATTCTGAGATTCCTGAAGATAGCTACACGTGAGCTTATGTTTTACTTTGTTTTTTTCTGCAGTTTTTCTTCACATCATTCAGTGCAAGAGACAGAAGCTACCTCAGTATCTTCCGTTTGTGGCAGAATGTGTTGCTGGATAAGGTAAGCTTGTCTGCAACAGTACCTGTGGTTAAGCAGCCAAATCAACTTTTTCTAATGTTGACAGATGTACCTCTGGAGAATAAGAGACTAGAAGTTAGCTTTTCCTTTCTGACTTAGAATTCTAATCTGATGTTCTGCTTTGGTTCCTTGTACTTTAGATCACAGACAAAATTCTCATCTTTTCCTTCTCAGATTGCCACCTACAACTCTGCTGTCGAAGGAGCATATTGTCTTTGCATATAGGTTGCATGCTTCTCTTCACTATGAGCTCAAGCATATGTTACTAAATTGATATGCATTTGCTTCACATTTTCTATGCCTAATTTGTGATCAAAAAGGCAAGAGATTTTCTCAGTGAAAACTTCAAGGAAAAGAGGCCAAAACTCCTTCTTAGATAAGTTAGCTGAACCTTTGCCAGCCAACTCATTACAACTCTGCTGACCTTGCATAAATGCAATAAAAGCAGGCTGGATGATATGGAAGTGTATTTTGGCAACTTTGGCTAGTTAGCTTGATTTATATTGCAATTTGTGGATAGCTAATCTTTCTAAAAATAGACTGACACATTTGCAGAACATCATGAAAGACAGACAAGACAATTTTTTTTGTAAGAAAGACAGTTTTGTAAACCAGTTCCTTCCTGTTTGTCTCTCATTGTTTAAATATTTCAATTCAGTTGCAATTACACACCAAAATATCCATATATAACACTGCAATGATCCCCAAAGGTTTAAAGCTGTTTTACTACTTACACATAGTAGCTACACTTTTTTTCTTTTTTTGGATGAATTTTAGGGCAGACGAGAGGCACTTTTTGTCAAAAAAAGCACTGAAAATAAAGGGAAGTGCTATTTAAGGCAAAACCAATGTTTCTTGCAAATCCCTTGTCCCTCAAATCAAATACTATTTAATTGTCTTGAATCCAGCCAAAATGTACTTTGTCACCTTTTGACAGAAACGGGCAACTGGAAGTAACCTTGCTTTCTTTCATTGTGCAGAGTTTGTCAGAAATGACACTTATGTTGTTCACTTATTTAGTTTGTGGTGCTGGAGGGTCAATGTATGGACATTCAGGTATATAAACCTGTCCTAGGGCTGGAACAGAGGTAACAAGCTTTGTACTGTTCAGTATTAATTTTTCTTGTGTGTTTCTTCTCTGACACTGAAATGAGTGTCACGTGAGGATCAAATTTTCACTTGAGAACAGTAGCTAAAGGATAGATAAGAAAGCAGGAGGCATGAAATGCATGCAAGAGGAGATGAACTAAGCCAGCAGGTTTTAGGAACCAGTGCATTAGAGTAGCTTGGGAACTATCCTTATTATTTCTGTCAAATCTTGCTGTTAGCTTGCTTTCACCCTCACTGCAGTATGTTAAAAGATAAACCTGTTTATGAGAATTTCTGCTTAGGCTTCTTAGTTGTAAAATGGAGCATGGTCATGAGGTGTATCTAGGGCTTTTTAATATAGTATGTTTAGAACTATTATTGAAACAGGATTTCTGTTAGGTTGAGCTCCTACTTCTGAAACATAGTAATGACTTCTCATTCTCTGCTAGAATGTGTTTGAGTCACCTGTCAACCTTCTTTATGATACTCTTTACTAGATCAAGCTATAGAGGGGCACTCTGGAGTTGAATGTAGAAACTGAAGTTGCTGGAGCTGGATCCACTGACACTACTAGAATGGCAGCTGTCTACTGAAGTAATACTAAAAGAGAGCCCTTGGTGTTTTCAAGCAGTTTTGCTGTTTTCTCCCCAGCACTCCAATGTCAGGAACAGCATACATTTGGAAAATGTCCCTTACACCTGAGGCCCTGCCATGGTATGCAGTGCCTGAGCGTGCGGAGTTTGGTGTTCCTGGCTTCAGTCATCAAAGGGATGCCATCAGAATTTGCATGGCTTTTGACAAAAAACAAATGTCACTATGGAACCAGTTCCAAAAGGAGCTGGTTTTAATGTTTCCTCTGCCAATAGCTAAATGTTTTGAAGCCTGTGAATAGCTTGTTTGTATTCTGGAGCACATCTTCTAGACCTGGAGATGACATCCAACAGTTAAATTATGAAATAAAGTGGTCATCAAAAGTACAAATCTTACTTTAGGTGTCATAGTGCTGGTTTGCACCACCTGACAGTGAAGAATCCCCAGTTTTCAGGATTTGGATCCAGGGTACTGGAATTACATTTGCTTCAAATCATGGTTGTACAGAGGTAAATTTTACTCCCTGGCCTTCTCAGCACTTCTGGGCACAGATTTTGTCCTATGAAGTCTCACCTCTGAGGAGTGACCTGCCTGCTTTAGCTGATTCACTTTAAGCTTTCACCACCTACAGAACTTGTCGGTGGGGTCAGCCTCATACCCTTTCCCAGATCTCCATCTGGTGGCCATGCTGCCTTGTACCTCCCAAATATTGCATGTCCTAGGTGGTTGAACAAGTAGTGCTTTGACAAGTCTGCCTTTCTGTTAGAAGTGACTTGCACTGTGCAAGAGAACCAGCAAATGGTTACATGCTATCCTGTGCCCAAACTTACTTCATCCATCAAGGTGCTTTCCCCCAGCTTTGGACGACTGCTCTGACAGGACTCCTAGGCCTCTTCAGCTCAGTTACAATTTTGTACCTCGTAACTTCTTTGGACCTTGCTCAGAATACACTATAGTGTGTTTGGTGCCCTTCAACTCTAGTTCCTCTGCAAGTCAGTGGGTACTTTCTTCTTAACATGGGTCTTTCTTAGGCTTTTTCATTTTTAAATGTCCATGGAAAGACTTTTTTTCTTTGAAGGAAAATTACACTTTATTTGTTTTTCCATCCCTGTTGCAAAACATGTGCAGAGTGAGTCTTGTAGGCTTTTACCTTGCCATTGTGTTTTAAATGATCCAGCATCATGGAAAATAAGGAATCATTAATGCAGGTCTGGAAGAGACATGACACCGGTCTTGATAAAACAGATAGCTGCTTCCACATCCACTGCAGCTTTCAATAATACTTCAGTTTCTAAAATCAGCCAAAAATCCTATTTTGCAGTGGGCTTTCCAGATTGGCACAAGGAATTTATTCATGGCTGCTATTGACAATAAGAGCAGTGCCATTCACAGTTTTGCTTTATTTTCCTAAACCTTATAGGTGTCAAATATCCTTCAAGTTTAAGGGAGAAGGAACAAATTAAAATGTAATTAGGCAGGTCATTCAAATCCCAAACAAACACAGTGCTCCTTATTTCTAATGGAACAAGATCTTAACTTAATCGGTCTCAATTCCCATGAGTCCTCTGCCTTAGAGTTGGATTTATTTTCCTATTGTTCTTCTTATGCTTTGCTGGGTAGAGATTTGCACCTGTCTCCGAAGACATTGTAGCAGGTAAGTCTAGAGGTGTGAGAAGGGACCAGAATTTCTGATCACCTGGGCTTCCTGTGGCAAACATCTCCCAGGACAGCAGTTCTGCCTTCCCCAGCAGTTTCTCAGGGAAGGTTGTGAAAAGAGAGATGTTTATTTGCACCTTTGTGTACAACAAGATTAATTTAAGAGATGAAGGAAGACTTGGTTTGATTCTGAGCTTCATGTTTAGGCAATTAAACGGGGAGTTTGCTCTTTCCCTCCCCTATTCTGCAAGCAATCAGAGTTCTGTATCAGAGTTGCCTGGTACAAGTGTGGTGTGTGGTGAGGGCTGTCTCTTTAGTCAACCTGTATGGCAGGTCTTGGTCTTATTTCTGCATTTGTCCATCGAGGGTAAAAATCATCAGCTTTGCTTCTGTCGGTGGTACTCTGTAGTATTGCTTGTGCCATGACACTGCTTTGTCTGGCATGAAGCAAAATATTGATGATCTGTGCTCTGCTTGAAAAGACAAAAGTGTATCCCAGCTGCTTCTTGTAGCCTTTGTTTTTGTATACAAAGAGAACTGAGGAAAAACGCGGTGTAGACGATCACCTTGAATGGGCAAAGTAATGAATGTTTAGATTTTGCCTTTCAAGCTTCAGCGCTTCTCTAAGGCATCTCTCAGAAGCAGAAGTCTGACCCAGAAAATTTATGCCCTTTTTTGTTTTCAAAACTGACTGGTTCTGATACAATAAAGCAAGTCTCCTTTGATCTTGGCTTGTGACCATTAAGAACTTACTATATCTAGCTGAGCTAGGAATAATTGAGCAGAGTGGAAGAATCCTGTTTTAGAAGCAGAAGTTTGTAACATTGCTTTTACAAAACAACAGGAAACAGCTTTATAGATTCCTTTATAGAAGCTGAAAAGCTTCTCTGCTTTCCTCGAACTGTTGAGCTGACTGTAAAAGGGTGGACTGATTTGCCCATAGAAAGAACATACTGGCCAATTTAATTAGCAACATTAACTCTGTGCCATTATGACTGGGAATCAAGGCATCAGCAATATTGGGCAACAGAAATGAAAATGGCTTTATTTCTGTCCTTTGATTCCTAGTTGGGAAGGTGTGCTAGCTAAAGATTCACCTCAATCATATTTTGAAACCACGTAATGCCCACGCCTGGTTTTGGCCATTTAATAAGAACTGTAGGCAGTTGTTTGTGGTTATGAGTTTATTGTTTCAGAAGACAGAATGCCTGGGGAAAGTAAGGCCAGCTGTAAGTGGATGCGTGTATTTCAGCACTGCATTGCTCTGTAGAACAAACCCGGGTGCAGCGGGAGGCTGGCATTAGCTGCTATGACCCTTGCTTTATAGCTGTGTGTTTTGTGTTTTAATGTTTACTTTGCCCTCGCTAAGATTAAATACCTTGAAACCGATCTCTGCCAATAGGGTTCTTGTTGCCAGCTGCTTTCTGAAAAGCCCGAAACCGTGTTGTGCTGGAAAATACCCGAGGGAAAAACCCTTCCTCCCAAGTTGGGCTGTTTGTCCCGGCGCTGGGGGGAGCGGTTCCCGTGCCATGCGAGGCGATGCAGCGCGGGGATGCCGCAGCGGGGGCGAGGGGACAGCGGGATCCCCGCGGGGCCCGGCGGCCGAGATTGGCTCTGTCCCGCCCCGGGCGGGCGGCGGCAGCCGAGCAAGGCGCTGCCCCGGCCGCGGCGCCGCCGCCCAGCAGGAAGTGGGAGCGCGGCGGCGGCTCCCGGCGGGAGCGGGGCCGGCCCGGCAGCGGCGCTGCCCCGCGGGACGCGCCAGGTGGGTCGCGGAGCGGGACGGGGCGCGGGAGCGCCGGGGCTGCTGCGGGCGCGAATTTACATCCTGAGCGCGGGTCAGCTCCTCCGTGCCTGTCTAAAATTGCGGGTGCTGTAACTAACACTCTTCAGGTGAAGCAAGCGGGTGGAGAGGATCATTTAAAGGCCTTTTAAATAATGCATGGGTATTTAATGTCATCATTTCATGCAAATAGTAAGCGCTACTTGTGTTACTGTCTCATTAGCACAGTTCTGTTCCCTTGATCAATATGGATGGTGGCCGAGGCACATTTTCCAGTGTGGTGTCTCCTGTTTTAAGATCGCTAGTATTTCTCTCTGAGCTCTGTTAAATACAAAAACCTTTGATTTCTTTTCTTCCTCTTTCTTTTTTTTCACACCCCCTCCCCCCAAGCCCTTTACAGCTAAGGTGGACTTTGAAACTCATTGCTTACTTTGCAGATACGAGTGTGTCATACTACTTTCACCTCCAAGCTTTCCTGACAATTTAAGAGAACTTAAATATGTCTGGGTAGGTGTGGGAATTCTTGGAACAGGATGGAGATATTGTAGAGAAGGGGAAGACTTAGCTAGTCCTCAATCAAGGTAATCCTGAGGAAAAGCAACTACTTTTCATTAAGTGGATGCTGGTGGTACAAAGTGAGGACCTTCTGTCCCACCTTGGCGAAGTGGACATTTGGCTGACCTAGACACCAGTGTAGTGACTGAAATGCTAGCCTCCCACAATTTGTAAAGTACTCTGAGCATCCTCAAGAAACAGGTGGGTATCTGTTAAGCAGTTTGCTCAGAATCAAAGAGGTAATTACTTACCTTGTGCCATATCAAGTGAATTTCAAGAGGGAGGTACCTTGAAGGTATTTGTGAAAATATTGGTGACATGTGAAGAAGCAAGTAATGGCTACAAGTGTGTGTTTTCTTAAAATGATGATTTTTCTTATGCCTAGTATGGTTGGTTGAACAGCAGTGGGAGTGTGGAGTAGACAGGAGTACAGTTGCCCAAAATGCTGAAACCCAATCTCGGAACGTGATACCTGAATGCTTTCGGTCCTTGTCAGAATTGAGGTTAAAGGCTGTGGCGTAATACAAACTTGTTGCTGTTTTTCCTCCAGTGCCATACTGTTCCATACCGTGGTTCTTGACTAGCCTGCTTTGTTTCAGAGGCTGACCAAGCAGGAATTCTGGCAGCTGGTGCACCAGAGCTATGGCTCTGAGCTGGGCCTGAACAGCGAGGAGATGGAGAGCTTCCACTCATCATCAGAGGACAACGGGCAGTCTCGGTAAGGAGAGGCTGAACAGCCTATTGAAACATCTGGGGAGAAGCAGTGTCCTCTTTCTTAGAAACTCAGTTTCTAAAGAGCTGCTGTAGCCTTACCAGAATGGTTGAGCCTGTAGTAAAAGGGTGCAAAGGTCTGAACTGCATAGACTGAGTGTGCATGAAAACTTAACTGTGTGAATTTGCTAAAATAGTAGCAGTGCAGCTGAGGCCCCTTAGAAGAGGAGAGAGAAACACCTTGTTCTATCCCTAGATCTGCTTGGGGACCAGCATAGGGTAGCTTAAATAGGAGCCTTTTTGCATGATGGTGTCTAGTCCATCTAGCATCTTTATGCCCTTCAACAGTTTGGAAGGTTTGCATAGAATGCAGCTATATTGTGGTTCAGATGCTTTCTTTCTTCCCGTCCTCTGTGGAGACTGAAATACTTGTTTTGCCTTGTTCCCCTAATATCTGATGTCTTAGCTTATTTTTGTATTGTCCTCAGTTTGAATTAAGAAACAGGAATAATAATATAACAAGCCAGAATAGTTGTAATAATAATGATATGGATTTTTGAAAGTTTCCTTGATTTTTTTTTGAACAAACGTGATCTGATTTATGACCTGCCAGTGTCAATCTAATAACAGCACTTTGCATATCTCTGTGTAAATAAGTATGACTCTCCAAAATGGAACAATGTAATTTGACTGTTTAATCCTGTGTTATCTGAGTATGTTTGTGAGAAAAATGTCTTGAGTTCATTACAGGCTTCAAAAGATGTTCTATTAAGTATTTTTGACGGTTTTTTTGTTTGATTGGCTTGGTTTCTGTTTTAGGTTTGCTTGGATTTTTTTTTGTTGTTGTTATGTTTTGGGGTTTTTTTCTGTTAGAAAGTTGCAACTTTGGAATAAGCTATGCAGGAAAAAAATTATTTTCTGACACTTTCATAATGCTTTTTCTTTCCAAACTAGGTACAAGCTGTATGTTTCCTCATTTCTCACAGCACTCACTTTTTTGGTGTCATTAACCTTATGATCAGAAGCTGAATGTTCTGGGAGGTGGATGAAATGAGGAAGATGGCTTGATATTAATGAGCTGTATGTAGGAAGAATGACTTGGTAGTTTTTAATGTTAGCTGAACAGCCATGTTTTCAATGCAAAAATCCCACGAGACGCTTTCTCGGATTTCTCAGTGCTTAGATCTCCAGAGATATCTTCTTTTTGCTTTGGACAGATCCAGCATTTGTGATGATTCTGGAGAAAGGGATGAAAAACTACCCAAAATGATTGGTTTAGTTCGTGAGCCCACACTTCAAACAGAAGGAGAGTCACTCAACAGACCCATGTTGCCAGGAGTAAGTGCTGACACAGCCTTTCTTGCTGATAAGCATATGTGCTTAACGTGTATGTCTGCAAACATAGGATGAATGGAGATTGTAACTTCCAAGGAAGTCTTTGAGAAGTCAAGAATGTTTCTTAAATTTGAAAATGAGCAAAATTCTGTGTAAGAGAATATTGTTGGTATGAGCTTCAGCAGTGCTCTGTCACTAATTCGCTGTGCAGCCTTGCTACAATGCTGAGGCTTATGCCCTGGTCTGGTTTTTTTTTTCCCTTTAGAAACAATATCTCGGTTTTTCTTATCCAGTTCCCAAGGGGACCATATTTGTGTTTTATCCAAGTGCTTTTTGAAAGTAATGCCTTTTTCACTTTCAATGCTTTCTTGCTTGTGCTTATTTGTCATTTAAAAAGATATCGCCTCTTATTGTATCTCCTATATATAAGGCTTATTAAAGGATAATTACACTTTGTCTTCCTTGCCTTCAGTGGTCAGTCTGCTGTTGTGAATATATTAAACCTTTTTTAATGCTTCAGAAGGAAGGGGAAAGTCCCCCCACTTGCTATAATGAGGATGAGTTTTACCTTGACCTTGATGCCTTGGGTTAGTACAACTACCAAGATGAATGCTCACTCATGTTCACTCATGGTGTATGAATTTGTGAATGTGTTTGGCTAGTGTGAGCAGCAAGTCCATTAGTAGTGATATGAGATGGGCACAGTGTCTAGCACAGTTACTGGGGCTGCTGTGTGCAGCTGTAGTCCTAAAAAGTTGCAGATATTTTCTCTTGGTTATTAGGTGTCCCAAAGGTCTTGGAAAAGAAAATAAACCGCTAATGCATTTTTTATAAGCTTCACTAGGGTTGGGTACTTAATTGCCAGTTTTGCTTAGGAGAATATGTGAAGGAAGAAAGGAGATTAATTTAATAGTTTTTACTATCTTACCTTTAAATCTTCTGGCTTTTGTCACTTGCTGAAACTGATCTGGAGGTTGAGTGGGATTTAAATAATTTTGCCAAATCTGAGTTAATGGCTAGAGACTCATATCCAGCAAAGAATATTGGTGTTTCTCAGATGTTAAAAGCATAGTTGCTTGAGTACCCATCACTCAAGCAGTATGAAACAAGATTTTTGGATAGTTGTAGGGAAGGCCTGAGAGTACTGAGGATGCTGCTGGAATTTGGACTGTTTGGGATAACTAAAAATCTACACAGGTACCCTTAGTTTGCACTTGTAAATCTTACTTGTGCAAGAACAAGCCATTTAAAGATAATTGCTGTGCCTGGAAAAGAAGCCACACCCCAAGATGTCTCTCTGCAGGTGCTAAATCTGATTTGGCATCTTGGTAAGGAGGAATGCCTGGGGATTTGGTCTGCAAAAATGCCAGTCTTCTGCCTTGAATAAACTGCCTCTGGAAAGTCTTTTAATTACAGTGTTAAAGTGCGGTCTTGATAAATGTGTAACTAAACTGTTTACTGTTTCAGGGTAGCTAAAGTGCCCGATGATTTTGTTTAGCTGCATGTGTCACTTGGCATTACTCAAGAATATCCATGCTCTCTCCACAGCCCCAGGATTGCAGCATATTTTGTAGAACCACAAGAGCAGTCGGAGGAGGCAGTAGTGCTTAGAATGTATTTATCAGAAGTCATCACAGTGATGACACAAAGCACACTTAACCACCTCCGAAAGACTGGAGGGAAACATGCTTAAATTCCCTTTACTGCTCTGATAGACAAAGTAAGGCCCAACGCTCTCATAAGATGAAGATCTGAATAGTGGAGGTCTAGTATTTGGCCCATCTTGAAAAAAATATTGTTAATGGCTGTCTTGCGTTGATTGACACAAGTTTACGTGGCTTACCTGCCCTCTCAGTACATGTGAGTGTGGGAGCCACCTTGTTGCCTGTTTTTGCAACCATCATCTTCCCTCCTCCCTTTATTAGGGAGGCCTTCCAGTCCCCAATCTTGCTGTTCACAGGCTGAAACCCAAAAAGCCCTTGGCACAGAGCTTAGCACTACTGGACTAGCTCAGGATATAAGTGTACAATTGGCAATAAATTATACATCTCTAATTCCAGCTGACAGATCTTAAAATCTTTAGTCTTTAGTATGGAAAAAAATGCAAACCAACCCAAACCCCCATGAAATCTGTGTTAAACTCAATCAGTTATTACAAAAGCCCCAGCTTGAATCTCTTCTTCCATGACAACATGAAAAGCCTTTTTTTTTCTAAGAGCTGTTGCTTTTGTCTAATGACTTGAGCCTGGCTTCCCTACTCTGCTTGTGCCATAGTGGGCTGCTCTTATGCTGCTGGTGAGAACCTTGCTTCACTAGATTGTGATTGTTGTCAAAATGCTATGAGAGTTCCTTGGGTTTGTGCTGGATCAGAGTGTCAATTTCTAGGCGATTCTGTTGCCACTAGCTCCTTTTGGACTTCATCCATCTGTATTGGCATTTTGACATTTAATGTTGGTTCTGTCCTAGATCCTGTTATGTGACTGAGTATAACTTACATGGCAGCTTCTCTCAATAGGAGCATTTGTTAACTGATGTGTTTTTCTGGTTCCGTCTTCCTTTATATTTTTTTGACCCCGAAGGAGTACTTTTGTCTGCTTATACTGCAGTCAGATCTATGCCTGTCTCTGTTTTCCAGCCACCCACACCGAATAACCCGTGGTTGCACAAGAAAAGTAGCAGGTTTTTCTTTTTTAAAATACCCAAGAAGTACAGGAAGTACATGATGATTGTTCAAGCAGTGGATGCTTTTGCTTTCTTGAGTCAATGCTGAATACTCTTTAGGGGTGATGGTTTTGCAGATGAGTCAGAACAACTCAGCTGAGGAGGCCTGATCATATTTACTGTGGTCCACACACTGCGCTTCCAGGGCCGTGCTGCTCTTCATCCTGCATGTTCCACTGGTGGCAGTGGGGCCTTGAGGAGAGGTTTAGAATGAAAACTGATTCAAAGCTGGTAGCCAAACTTTTTGGGTGGCATTTTTAGGTACACAAACTTTGTCTATATAGTTTCCCTGGTGATTTACTTATTTAAGTGTGCAATGGCATACGTGCTTAGCTGACAGTTCTTGTTTAAGGTGAAGAGCTGCATCATTGATTGTGACTGATGTTCAGAGGGATTTCCTTCTTGCTTACATATTGGAGATGGCAAATGATACTCCATTGCTTTGTTTGTGAGAAGTAATATTTTATAAGTATTTTATAAGATGGCTCTGGACAGTATTGTAAAACTTTTTTTCAAAGGGTGATGGTATCCTACAAGATAAGAACTTTTCAAATATGTAATTGGGTTAATCTAATCTTGCTGAAAGAGGGGCACCCTGCCTGTTTTGTTGTGCTTCCCCTCTGGGTTGTTGGACCCTTGCTAAACTGCTAGGAAAAACTAACCTGATGGATGTCAAGTAAATCTGTGTAAGGTTAATTAATTTATCAATGCTAGTGCTGAAGCAGCAGGGAAGGGGTCCAAACTGTGCAGATGGGTGCAAGAGGACTGTCCCATTTAAGGGAGTTCTTGGTACTGTCAGTACATACAAGTAAGTCTCTTTCTTGTTACCAGAGTTTAGTGAAATATTTAAATAAAGGGAAGAGAGGTTGGCTGGGATGGAGGAACAAGGGGGAAATTAGTGCTTGACTGTGTGGTAATTGAGCAGATAGAACTTGTGGCTTACTTTGTATGACTGTCTTCTTTTATAGTAACTTTCTCTCTTTTTTTTTAATGGTCTCTGATTGCTGATATTTTTTCTGCTCTTGGTTGTTTCAGGTGGAGGAGTCCTCAAGTGAGAAGCAAATAAAGAGTCCTCTTCCATCTTCAGAAAGAAAACCTGCTAAGCTAGTTAGAAGCAGGTCTTTAGAAAAGTCTTTGGACCTTAACGAGAATGAAAATCTTCCAGAGAAGAGCAGTGCTTCAGATAGTGAAGAAGGTATAAATCTCTTTCTTAACAGTTGAGATCTGGAAAACAACATGACTTTGGTGTTCCATCTCGCTTGTGGAGAAAGTTAGAGAACTTTCTGATCTTATGAAACTTGTTTGCTTATTTGTTTCACAGAATTGCAGCAAAAGCATTTTTTAATCTTTGTTTCTGTGAGGGGAAAATGTTGTTGGGTTTTTAGAATGAAAACAAAGAAATTGTGGTTTTCTTTCTCTCTTTTGGTGGGTAGAGAGTTGCCAACAGCTTAAACTAAAAGTTTATTGACAATGGGGTGGTGCTAATTTCAAAGACGTTTCTTTCATTTGTTTGTATTTCTTGGAAACTGAGGGGAAACATTTCAGGCTGTACTTAAGTTTCTGAAAGCTTCCCCCAACCCCCTTCTTTACACTTGTACTTGCTTAAGGCTTATGGGCTTCATTGTTATTGGTGGAGTAAGCTGAGGAACTTACTGAAAGCCCAGGGTTTCAGGAGAGTATAGTGCATGCTCTGGGTCTGATCTGAAAATGAGAAGCCTTAATGGATATCTTGCAGCAGCTTTCACTCTCTGTGCTAACAGTGGATCCTAATATACCAACCTCATATCTCATTACCCAGTATAAGATAGAAGAAGCACAGGTACCTGGATGACAGACTTGTGCTGAGATTTGTGGGTGCTTGTGCTGTGGTTCCACAGTAGCCCCTGACAAGTTCTCACTTTCTGTGATGAGATTTTCACTTGCCCTGGGGAGGTTTTCTGTGCCAAAGGGCTGTAGTTGTTCAGACAGCTCATTGAACTTTGGTGGATATTCTGTAATATCTGAATCTTGGGTTCTGTAAATGCTTTTAATGTGAAGTGTGCACAACCTGTATTGGTTCCAAGGTTATATGGTGGTGAAGAGAAAGACAGAAAACCCCAACAGTAGTACTGTGCTCAGAAGCAGCTGTATATTTCTTTCATGTGCAAAGAGAACTTACTTTATTGCTTGTTGGCAGGAATAGAACAGTTTAGTTAATTGAAGGCAGTTCTTAATCTCACTGAGAAATTTTGTGACTTGGTGTTTTCAGAGCTGACAACTGAAGTTGTTTGCAGGTGTTGTTATGGGGGGACTGTTGAGGTATGCAGGAAAGCTTTCAGAGTTACAGTTTGAGTTGGCTGCCTTCAAGTTGTGATTTTTGCCTGGGGATATGGTTATATTCAGTTAACTTTGCTGTTGCTCCCTCATACTGCTTCTGTGTTGGCTTGAGTTCAGATTCAACTCAATGTATGTCAGGCATTATCATTTTTGTAAATATACCTACTTAAAGAGGCTGTTGTTTATGCCATACTCATACACACTTAACAAGCTTCAAAAATTAATTTACTCTTTGACAGGTGTATCTCTTAGAGCAGCAGAATGTTCTGGCTTTTGGATGTTTTAGATATTTTGCAGCTTTCCTATTTTTCTATTACTACATCTCTCTTCTGTCTCTGGATTTTATTTTTTATGGTGAAGGTCTCCAGTTAAACTGATTAAAAAGTAGTCCTGTTGTCTTTCCTGCTGCTAGTTCCTAAACAATAGCAGTAAATATTCCCTGTAATGCCTGCATTAGTGATGTTGAATAAATAGAGCATATTAAACTGGAGATATCTCTTTAATAAAAAACAACTGATTTCATGCTGCCTTTCTTATTTTTCTTCCCTTCCCCAAGACTAGCCTTTTTTATTAGGAACAGGATTTTCTAGACTCACAACATTAATCTTTTCTCTCAGAATCTTCATGCTTAGAATTTTTTTCTTCTGTTTCTCTGTCTGTTTTCTGTTGCAGTTGCCCCACACTCTTACAAGGTGAATTCCTTCACGCAAATGAAACTAGCTTTCCTGCATGGCAAAGGTTTACCCATGCGATTAATTTCTCTTGTGTCCTCTGGCTCATACTCAGGCTGCCCATGGAGGTGTCCTGGCAAATAAGGTGAGGGGCAAGCTCAAGACTCTTGTTCTTCACAGCAATAATTCCCTTGTCCTAAGCAGTTCTCACCTTGGGAATGGGGGTCTGCATCCCACTGTGCACCACTGGCCTATTGACCTGCATCTTGGTGTTTTTGTCCAGTTTCGTAAATCAGAGTATAAATCCTGAACCATGACAAACTTTTGGCTAAGCTAAACATTAATATCTGTGGCCTGAATTCTGAATTTCAGAAAACAGATTTTAGTTCAAGCATAGAATACATGTTTCTAACACAGAGACAGGATATCTTTATGATTTCCTCAAGACTCTTTAGTATAGTTTGTTTGTCTGTTTTCTGTGATCATGTTTGGCATGCAGTACTTCAAAGTAAGAAGGGGGAAGCAGGATATAGGGAAAACAGTATTTTCTGCTAGAAGGCTCTACTGTATGCAGAGAAATCGTACATTTCTGTTCTCCTTGTGTAACATGACAGACTTACTGTGTTGTTTCTATGTGTACTAATAACCACCTTAAATGTGTGATCTGCAGGAGAGCATAACTAGCTGCACCATGGTGCTGCAAGATGGGCACAGCAGAGGCTTGACTGCTTGCAGATACTGGTGTAGAGGGCATACCTCTATTTAAAATACAGGACAGTTGAAATTCGGTTCAGCCCTGTATTAGTTGTCCTCCTCTTCCCCCCAATACAAAATTTTGGATATGCATTGTATGTAAGCAAGAGTAGCCCTGTGATCTTATTGGCATTTTAATCAAAATACTGAAAGGATATACCTTGTTGAAAAAAATTCTTTATTTTGGTGTTTGGAGGATATATGTTTAAGTCACCTGAAGGCAAAAATTGGTGAGGTTTTTTTATGTTGTGAACTGGAAAAAGCTAGCATTGTGCAATACTTACTTAGTAGTTCCCCAAGATAATTCTGTACTTCAAGTATAGGAGGGTTCTCTGAAAATGGTTAATACTGCTGGTACAGTCTTTAAATAGATGATGTCTGGAACATGTTCACTTCCAGGAATTGGTTTTATTCACTTGATTTCAGGTGTATTTGGTTAAAAGCTTCTACCTACATATCTTTCACGCAGCCTGTAATTTTTCCCTATCCCCAACGGTATAGAAATGTTCAACAGTGCCAAGATTTGCATACATACTTTTTAAAATCCTGATCCTCCCCCAACTCTGTGGAGTGGAAAATTAGCCTTCTTACTAATTTGTTTGATAGCCTGTGCTCTTATCAGTTCAGCTTTCTTAATTTCCGTGTGGTATGTTTAGCTTTTTGCTGTTCCTTGTTGAGGGGAATTTTAATAACAGCGGTTTTCTTACTGCCCCATTTCCCCCTCCCCCTCCATTTTCTGTCTCTTTTTTTGCACTGCAGATGTCTTTAAACCTCTACCATCTCTGCTGCATAATGGTATTATATTCAAATATTATTTCGCAGCTTGCCTTGCAGTGATGAAAATGACCTTAGGAAGTGCAAAGTAGTAGTGGTGGAGGGAATAGACCTGCTGTTCTTAGGCTGAATCAGAACACTCTGGGTAATATGCTTACTTCTGTGGTTTTGGGTCCCTAGTGATCCTTACCTGAAGTCAGAATAATCACATGTTCTTTTAGCAGACAGCTCCAATTTAGCTATAAATGTATTCAGGTTAAGAAAGTTAGTGTTGATAATTATATGTTGCTGAGGGGTTAGAACAGCCCTCAAAGTGAGGGTGTTAAACTGATATCTCTCTATTTGCACAAAAAACTTTGTTAATAAAGAGCATTCCAAGCCATTCTTAGGGTAAAATGCTTTGCGTTGCCCTACTGGTGTGAAAAACAAAGGCAAGTTTACCTGTGTGAAATGAAACCGTAGACAAACATGCACCTTCACTTGTAGCAGAGATAAGCGGTTAAGGCTGCCTGTTCTGTTCAAATGACAAGCGTATAAAGTGTATGCTTATTCATTGCTATGCTACTGTTTGTGCTCACTGCTTCATTAGAATTTCTACAGATAAATTTTGAGAACGCCAGATGGAAGTGACTCGAAGCTTGTCAAGTTCTTGGTGTATCCTGCTACAGATGTGGAACTCACAGCATGTATGCACACATGCACCTTCCAGACTCATTGTCCAGAAAGTTTACAGTTTTCTTGGAGAACAACTGTTTGAATCCCAGCATCTAAAGTAGCTGATGGGCCTGATATGTAAACCCAGGTTTAGCTTGGATTTTCTGAAAATTACTGCTGTATGTGCTAACAACATTAAAAAACCTCTTTTGTTTCTTTCAAGAGCTGAGAAGGATTGTAAATAGAAAACCTATTTCTCAATAGGTGCTCATGCACTTCATTGGCACTTAATTGACTATTCCTTATTAGAGACATGACCATATAGAGCTAGTGTAGGTAGATTAACTTAGGGGAAGTTTTGTTTAGACCTGTGGGTGCTTTTTGTTCAAACTCACTAGAAAGAGGATAGACTGAGTAATAGAGCTTGGTAGCAAGATCTGCACCTTAAGGTAGTAAAGCATGGGCTTTGTGCATATCACAAGTTGCCCTGGCATACCAAATTACCTTGCACCGGCAGAAGAATAGCAGCTGTCCTCTGCAGGTGAATGCGAAGTTGAGTTGTTTAGCTCAGGCTCACTGGGGCAGAGGTAACTTGTGTTATCTTGTGTTTGCTAAGACATATACAAGTAGCTGACAAAACCGATCTGATGCTTATCTGGTGGCTTGATCATGTGTCTTGGTGTCTTTATTTTTTTTTTTAAGTGGTAGCAGATTCCTTGGGCATGTCAATGTCCAGCTGAGTAACACTCAACCACAGTAACTAGGTGTGTATTGCCTGGTAGCTGATGCACAGTAGGAGTGGGGGAGGTCAGCATCAGTATCTGAAACTTCCTGTCTCTTAGCAAAAGAGAGGATGTGGGTAGTGCACTCTGAAAGGAGAGATCTGTAATGTTGAGGTCTTGTTAAATTAGGTCAAACTTACAGTTCACTTGGCCTGCCTTTTATTAGAGTTAGATTCAGTTAGGAGAGAAAATTCAGTGAGTAAAAGCTGAAAACGCAGGCTGAAATTCTGGCTTCCTGCAGAATGTTTCAGCACAGCAGAATTCATATTCTATGTGTAATGACTGTGTATTGACTGGTTAAATAGACCTCTTGAAATGTGTGTTTGCTTTCTGTCCATCTCATAATTGTTTGGAATTACAATTGCATAAGCAGAACACGGCATGGAGTGGAAGTCAACCTCTTGTGCAAGCACAAGAACACAGCACTCACCCTTCTCTTTTGGGGTCTTTTGAAGTCTGATGAGATCAAGGAGAGCTTTTTTGGAGGCAGATGTTCTAGCAGGCTAGGAGCAGCACTAGAGAGGGAGTCTGCTCAGTCAGAACTGGCTTTCCTTGGGGACTGCTGTGGTTGTTCAGTCAGTGCATTTGCCTTATCAATACTGACTGCTACCAAGCCAGTAATGTTTTAAGTGCTGTAACCTTAGCCTGCAGGCAGCTTGTGAACTACAGCGTGATATTCAGGCTCCCTTTGCATTTGTGGCTAGCACTGACCTTTCCTAGCCCTGAGCATTCATTTGTATCAGTTGAAAGGTTGTGTCTGTCTGCTGCAAGATTTGCTTTTGGGCTGCTTGTTTCATTTTAGTGATGTGTGGTGCTGGGGGGGCTTGTTTGTCTTGCTGGTAATTATAGTTTAGGATTGACTTCTTTCTAAAGCATAAGCAGATTGAGTTGGGATTGGCACAGGAAGCTGCCTGCCCTCCAGGATTATAGTTCTATCCCTTATCTCTTGCAAGCGTGGCTGAGAAAACCACAAAGCTGAGTCATGCCAGCAACCACCAAAAAGCAGAAATAGCAAAGATCAGTGCTGCAGCCACAGAATGCCACTGGGGTGCTCGGTGGCTTTGAAATAAATGGTGGCATTTGAGCCTCTCCATGCATTTTTGGGAACTGCAAAATGGAGCAGGGTGCCCCTTGTGTTCCTGTTCAATGGGTATGGAGGGAAGAACTGCTTGGGAGTCTACCTGATCCCTTAGACTGTGGGCATTACCAGTATTACAGCTATTAAAAGCAGAATTCTGGAACCAGCCATAAGAAGAAAGCTGTTATGGTTTTACTGTTCTTCTTTCTTGTCTTTTGTACAATAGACACACATATTAATGAAAATTATGCTAACTTTCTTTCCCCAGTGTTTCTTGCAGGATTAGTAGAATTCTGCTAACTTTCTTTCCCCAGTGTTTCTTGCAGGATTAGTAGAATACTGAAGGCAAAATTGAAGGGATGGTAGCTCTTGCTGTTAACTTATCAGTTTGCACAGGGAAGTGGTGGTGGTGGTGTGTATTTGAAAATCAGCTTTGGACTTTGTTCCTGAAGGCAACCTATCTACCAAATAATTTGCTGCTATCCTTACTGGGTTTCTGAGAGCAAGAAACAAATGCTGATGCAAGCTTGGGAGAGATCTAAGCTGTAATAAAACCTAGAATACTATCAAGGTTATGTGTAATACTGTTCTTAACCTGATCTCTGTCTTTCTTAGCAGTGAAGGAGACTGTCTCTGACAATGATCTCTATGGGAGACTTTTTATAAACAGAGTTTTCCACATCACTGCAGACAAGATGTTTGAAATCCTTTTCACCAATTCTCACTTCATGCAGAGGTTTCTTAATTCCAGGAGTATAGTAGGTAATAAACTCTTCTCCCTTCTGTCTGTTACAAGCTACCCTGAAATTTTTTACCTCTGAGAATTGCTAAATAGGGCTAAGTTGAATTTTTTGAAGTTTTTCCTTGCTTTAAAAGAATTTTTAAGCTTTTATGTTTCACTATGAGAGAGGATATCTAAAGCTAGACTATTGTTTCCCTAAGTATGCACATTTTGGAGTAAAAGCCTCATTTCAGTGCACCACAAAATTTCACCTTAATGCCTGAATTTTGCGTAGGTTATTAAGTTGATGCATTCTGTGGGGTATTTCTGGTTACATTGTGTCCCAGAAATAGTGAAATTTGTATGGCTGATACACAGGCAAAAATCATTGCATCCTCCTAAACGATACTCACAGACTTTAATTTTCTGGGTGAGTAAATTTTATTCACTGAGACAGTAAGAACAGAAAATCAAGTAAAAAAGGATAATATTTATTCAGTGTCAGCTGGGAAGGCAATGTGGCAAAAGCTTTTGATAATGCTAAATGAATCTATGCAACTCTAAGCAAATGGGAAATGACATATATTCATTTAATTGCTTACTCTTTTGTCAACCCTATTTCAGTAGATTCAGGCTCAGCTATCCAGAGCCTCATCTTTGTTTATTAGCAGACTACATGAGTATGGTTTTTCCTGGAAAAGCCCCACAATTAATTGGAACCAGTTTTCTGTCTTTCCCCCTACTCCTGTTCTCAAACTGTTAAGACATGATAAGATAGGTAATTTTTTATGTGAGATCTTGCATAACTTCTCATCTAGATGCTGTATCAACCCCTTGGAATAGAGACTCCAATGGCAATCAGTTGAGGACTTTGACGTACACTGTAACAATTAACAATCCCCTCTGTGGGAAGTTCACCACTGCAACGGAGAAGCAGGTACTGTGTGCATGTGTGTGTCTGTCTGTCTGGTGCCCTTTAGAGCAAGGGACAGATCCACTCTGTGGTCTGTCACAGTTCTCACTGTGGATTAAAGTTCAGTGAACTGAATATGTATCTGGAGTTTAAACAGAGCATCTCTCAGGTGTCTTGCTGTGTCTCTCACCATTACTGAGCCAATGCTTATGAAATGAAAGAGGCTTTCTGCCTTTACAGGTGTCTGTAAATTCCCATGAAACATCTCTTAGGAACTGGGGGGTGAAAAGGTGCAATTAAAGGCTTTCAGTGTCCACTTCTGGGCTCCCGAGTATGAGAGGTGAAGAGCTTAACCAAGGGCAACTAAGATGATGAAAGGACTGGAGCATCCCATGTGAGAAATGGCTGAGAGCTGGAAATCTTCAGCCCAGAGAAGAGAACACTCAGGGACATCTTAAAATTTATAGAAGCATCTGAAGGAGGGTGCAAAAAATTCTGAGACAGGCCCTCACTATCAAAGGCCACAGATTTCAGTGGTGCCCAGTGACAGGACCAGAGGTTTGGACACAAACTGAAACACAGATGATTCCTTTTGAACATCAGGAAACACTTTTTCACTGTGACGGTGACTAAGCAGTGGAACAGATTGTTCACAGATGTTGTGGTACCTCCTTCCTTGGAGGTATTGGAAAGCCACTTGGACATGGACCTAGGCAACCAGCTCTAGATAGTCCTGCCTGAGTTCTTGGACAAGACAAGCACCAGAGGTGCCTTCCAATCTCAACCCTCTTGTAATTCTGCTTTGGGAAAGGTCTCAAAGAAAAGCTGTGGTCATGAGGCAGTGGCCAGCCTTGTATCTGGTACTTGAGGTGGCAGTGGGGAAGTCCTGATGCTGCTGATGTTGGCTCTAGCAGGAGGCATCTTCTCTTTTCCCACCCCACCTATACTTGATATTCTTAACTGGTTTTTATAGTGGTTCTTCAGGCTTTCTCTCTTCTTGAGTTCACTTGGAGTTGGTTGATCCAGCCTAAGGAACTCAGGCTGAAAGGGGGTGGGGGAAATTTGTGTACCATGAGTATACCTTCTTAATTGTCTTTTCTTTTTTGATAGATCCTGCATAAGCAGAGCCAGAAAGGTCAGTCTTACCAGGTAGATGCTGAGGTCCTGACCCACGACGTCCCCTACCATGATTATTTCTACACTGTGAACAGATACTGCATCAGCCGCACGTCCAGTCACAAGTGCCGGTTACGGTGAGCCTGCGTGCTGCGCCGGGGAGGGCAGAAGCCAAGGCAGGGATGTCCTCAGTTGAGATTTTCCAGCAGCACTGAGAATGTTGGCTTCTTTTATGAAGAATAAGCTTAGTTTATTTAGTTTATTTAGCTGTGCTTGCATCTCATTAATGCAGTGAGAAATTAACTGAGATGTTGACTCTGAGGTACAGAACTCGTCTCCCAGACTGAACTGGGTCCTGACCAGCCTTGTGTTTTTTGAGTGCAGCTGTGTGAGTGGGAGAAATTGGAAAAAATTGAGATGTTTTATTAGAAGGTTTCCCAGTCATCCTTGCTAAAGGCCTATAGAGGAGAATGTTTTCACAGGAATGTGCAGAGAAGATAGAATGTACTTAATTTTGCAAGGAGGGTACTCAAGTGAACTCTGTCTAGATATGGAATTTCCTCTCCCATTTGTTGAAAACGATGTAAGTGGTGCTGTCTTTAGTAAGAGCTTTTTTCTCAACCTTAATCAGTGCTCAGGAAAGGTTAGCAAGCCTGGATTCTATTCTGGCAAATCTCAGGCTACTGAAAACTCCCTCTCTACTGGGAGAATGGAATGAAGGTCCTTGAACGACTGCTTTGGATTTTTTTTTTGAGTGAATCGCTGTTCTTCTTTGAGACCTAGACTTGTTTTTTTCTGAGACATACAACAGCCCAAGGATAAGAGGAAAAACCTAGGTGCACACGGTGCACAGAGCATACATGTATAGAACAGAAAGGCACATGGTGATGTTACAGCTGGCCTTACTAAACTGTGTTTAAAATGGCTCAGAAACTCTGTTTGAAAGGAGTTGTTTTGTTATACCATGCACAGTGGGCTTACGTTGATTTGGAAGATTACTTAAAAAGTTGAAAAAAGTGTATTCTAGGATGGTCAGTCTTCTTGACTGAAATTAAGGACTTTGTCCTTTATGAATAGCTTTGGGATTCACTCAGTTAAAGCATGCCTCTGAAGGATTCTAGTCCAATTCATTTTTATTCTGGAAGCAGTATTGATTAGCTTTACCTGAGGAATGCAGGGTATGCACAGTAGGAATGTAGGTTTCCCCTCTGTCATGCTCGTGGAAAGACAGATTTTAATTTCTGTCTACTCAGGGTAGGGTGTGAGCACTTGAGTTGTGATAAAGAATTTCACTTTCTGCTATTGTAGTGCCTATGTAATATATCATGTGTAGTCATACAAAGTAATAATCATTACTTTATTATCTGGAAGCCTGAATCCTATTTTAAATATGTGTTAAAATGAGAATGCTTCAGAGGATAGAAATCATCTGGTAGTCTGAGCCTGAAGGAAAACATTCCAAAATGTTTCCCATAATTTGGACATTTAGATTTTGACACTTTAGCTAGAGATGTTGTCTTTGCTACTGTCTGTCTCTTGCATTTTTTCAATGAAAGTGCTGCCCAGCTGGAGAGCGATGGCAGTTCCAGTTGGTATTGCAGATTGTAGACATAAGCTGGAGGCTGCTTCTGATAAGAGATTTCTGCTATCACTGTGCCACCTAGAAGAGCACTTTTCCATTATTGCATTCTGTTTTCTAGGGTTTCTGCAGAAGTGAAGTACAAAAAACAGCCTTGGGGCCTTGTCAAGTCTGTAATTGAGAAGAATACCTGGGGAGGAATACAGGAAAACTTCAAACAACTTGGTGAGGCATTTTCTTCTTTGTGCTGGAGTAAGGAGCCTACCTTTGCTATGTACTTTTTTTTTTTTTTTTTTGTCTGTCAAACCTGGCTCCTTAAAGAAAGGCTTGAAAAAAGGGCAACACCTAAGCAGTCTTAAAGACAGAACTTGCTGTCATCAGTGTATCTGCCAGTTCTGGGGTATGAAAGAAGCCTTGTGGCTAACAAGGGGCTCTTGTATACCTGGCCATAATGGCTTTCAGAAGGAAAACAGAGGAGCAGCAGGAAAGCTGTTATTCTCAGCTGGATGTGCTCATCTCTAAGAATTTCCTTGACTGTGCCTATGAGAGGAGAAACAGTGGCACTTGGCAGGCTCCATGGATGTCTGTTCACAGCCTGGCCAGCCACTGCTGCAGGCTCACAGTCTAACACAATTTCAAGCCTCAGTCTAACAGTGTCTTGCAGTGCTCTTCCAACTGCTGTCTGGCATAGCATTGAACAATCCTGCCTGGGGCTGAGTGTGCACCACCTCTGCAGTGTTCCAAGTGCCCTCTAGAAAATGGAACAGGGGTGGAGGTCAGGGTGTAGTTCGCCAATTACCTGCTTTAAGTTCATGTATTGGAACAAGGTGTGCTTGTTCCTCTCACTGCCATCTTGCATATCTCACAATTTGTCTTCAGCTTTCTTTTTGACACTTTGGTAACCTTATTTTTTTCCACTGCAGAATCAGATCTCCTAATGGAGGAATATGCAATTAATCAATCCATAGAAGACTCTGGGAAATTACTTGCTCTGAGACGAAGGCGACGCACTTTACACCGGGGTTTGGCAGAATCACTTCCCAAACGCTCTGCCCAGCATTCCTCTGGTGACCTGGGAGTAGAGTCCCAGGGCAGCTTAATAGGTAGGAATTTTTTATATCAAGTGTTTTCTAAAAGGTATGTTCAAGAAAGCATAACTTTTAAAATAGTGCAAGAGTAGCACTTGTGTAAGTATTGCTCTTTTCTGTGATAGCAAATGCTTTAGCAAGTTCAAGCTTGCATAAAGTATATTTGGAGCATGCATGACCACTTTTATCATAAGTATCTCGTGAAATTAGGCTAATACCACCTTCAGTTTTAAAACAGACAAAAATCAACCAAAATCTTAAATACTGCTCTGTATCTGCAAAGGTTTGAAAATGAGATTGGATCAGGGAAAATAAAACCTGATCCATGTAAAGTTTCTGAAAATTTTTTTTCTTCAAATAACTACACACACAGGTGATGAGTTGGTTGAACTTTGCTACTTGGCTCTTGGCCCTGTCATCTCAGTTTTGGCTATTGATTTTTAATGTTAAGAAGTCTGTTTCCCATATGCTTCTGTAATTTCTGGGTCACTGAAGCATTTCTTGCAGTTCTACTGCCCTTAGGCATGACAGACTTGGCCACCAGCATATACAACATTAGTATCACCTAGGGAGATGAGGAACATCTGTGCACTAGTTTGCACTAGGGAATGGTGGATTCCATGACAGAAGCTGGATTGTAAACAGTAAGGTAGGAGCAAGTACACTTCCCTAAAGAGGGAGACGACACTGTGTATAGATAGCACTGAGGGAATATTTGGATCAACAGCATGAGTAAAGGGCTCTACCTTTGTGAAATTGCTTCCTAATTACTTAATTTTGCTACTGTTGCTCCACCTTTTCAAATGAGTTTGCCTCTGTGTGTATTACAGCTTTTATGTATGTCTATTGTGCAGGGCGGGATGTGCAAAATCAATTATATTTAAAGATAAGTGTGCCCACAGTGATAACTGCTCGGTTTGGAGAGAACAGGCGCACTGTGTCCCTCAGTGTCTGATCCCTGATGCCTGCAGAACAGCAGGTGGCCTCCCAAAGAGCTGTTTTCAGGACAATAGCTAAACCACGCCAGTAAGGATGGGACAAGTTACAGGAAAATGTGACTGACACTGGTTGTCAGAAAGATGAACGTGAGCAGGAGCGCCAGCAGGAGAGCCGCTTTGCAGCTGTCTCTGCAGTGCATGACCAGCAGCACGTTTGTGTGTTAGTCATGGATGGACTTCAGCCTTCTCAGGCAATTCAGGTTTAATGTGACCATGGCCCAGTATTGTGTTCTCCCCAGCACAGTGGGTAGGGGGAATTCTGATGGAAGAGCCAAACTGTTCAGCCAGCTTCTCAGAGATGATTGCAAAAATGCCTTGGTGAATGTTGGAGGTGATCCTATGCACCTACATGACCTGATTTCCATCAGAAGTTGTTGGGCTGTTGTGTGTGAAGTGCTGGGCACTGACATGTATCTATCTGCAGACATCCTTTAGGAATAGTCTTTAGTACTTTTTAACCTCCTTCTCTTCCCTGCCCTATAGGAAGGAAAAGAGATGCAGTAAGTAGGACCACCACCATCATTGTAGTAATGAGTGTCTTGTAAGTACTCACTTGCATTAAAGTGTTGCTTGACTCAAGCTCATCTTGTTTTTATCTGTATTTGTTCCTCACTTTTATGTTAAGGTTGCATGTAGCATGATAAACTAATTTGAGTGGAACATGGGGATATAGAAGAGGAATGGATTGACTTGGAAATGACATGTGGGATGAAAATGCTGACTTGTCAAACTAGTCTACCTTACAGGTTTACTTAGATCTGATCCAATTAAAAAATAAAGTCTAGGATCCACTCATTCGTAATTTTAAAAGTTCCAAGAAGAGATACTGTTGTTATTTTTTGCTATTACCCAGCTTAATGGTAACTGCTAGGAATTGTTCAGATAGATACTAATTTTCAGTATAGTGCTGCCCCACACCTTTTTTCTCCCAGGATGCTGGGAGGATTCTGTTTCCTTAGCTGTCTTTAGCTATGATCTTATGTTTGTAGCATTGCAAATGAAATTGTTGAAAAATTGATTTTTGTTCTTTTCTATCTACAGTTTGCTGCTCTTGGTCTTGCTGAATATAACACTGTTCCTCAAACTCTCAAAGATAGAGCATGCAGCTCAGTCCCTTTATCATGTCCAGCTTCAGGAGGAAAGCTCTTTGAAGTGAGTTCACAATCTTTGCTTGCTTTCTTTTTCAGCTTATGTGAGAATCTGATCTAAAAAATAAATTATAAACAATGAAATTGAGTGGTAAGTTTTCAGAAGTGGCTGGGGCTTGCTGTACTTCTGTGGTCTATGCTGAAATCCAATGACATGTCTGACTACATCTTGCAGTAATAAATTTCTTCTTTGACAAGCTGTTTTGGGAGAAATGTTAACCTTAGTTTGCATTTATCAGCTGCTGTGACTCATCTTCTGTGAATATCATAGTGCTGATCACAGAACTGAAGTGTTCGTCCTGTGTGAACCAGCATGTTCTCAAATGGAATGTTAAAGATTCATTTAGCTTTTTAGCTTCTCTCTGTGAGTCCCCTAAATCTCCTCTCCTTCACAAACTTCCATGTTAGGTGCCTTTTTTACTCAGGCACAGAAAGATGTTGCTTCCTCTTGAATACAGTATCAAGAAAAAAGTTAAAAACCATATCCTGATTTTGAGTCTGGAAGGGATGTGGGGACCTCCCATAGTGACAGAACTGGTTAGAGTGACTTTCTTCTTAAGAAGGCTCTTGCTCCCTGAAGTGTGGACCTTACATTGTAAACATAATGTGAGCACAGTTTTTTCTTGGTGGCTGTTGCCTGTAAAGGTCTGAGGTACTAGCTTCAAGCAAACAGGTATTGGAATTCAACTGCAGGCAGCTTTGTATGTGGCTTTTGTAAGAGGATGCTCTCAGCAATGGCAGAGCAATGGTGGCAGAGAACAGTTGTTTTTAAAAAGGCATTGGGGTGCATGCTTCATGTTTCTGATGTCACCTCAATCTTTTTCAGCATATCCCCAGAAATTGTATCAAAAGAGGAGATACCTCAATATGATAAGGAACAGGTTAAACATGTGAAGGGAGTTTTAAGAGACTCAATTGAAATGCTTGAGCAGGTAGGTCTGAAAATCTTTCCTGGTGATTTTTGTTCTTGTACATCTTTTCTCCCTTGTGTTATCATAGCTTGATGTGGTCTGGTGCTAGATAAAGTTTTCTTGATCTGTTTTGCCCCAGGCTTGAGTTTAGTTAACAGGCAGTGCTTATGTTTCTGATGTTTCGGATCACTTTGGTTTTGAATTTGTTTCTTGGAGGGTTAGGTTTGTTGTTTTTTGGATGGTTGGTTTTTGTTTGGGTTTGTTTGTTTGTGGGTGGGTTTGTTTTGTTTTGTTTTTTGTTGGTTTGAGTTTTTTATTTGACTAAGATGTAAGTACTCATGTCAATTTTCTTAAACTTGTCATGTGCTTAAGAGGAGATGTGTTAATGCAGTTCTGAATCATGACAAAGCAAAGACTGGACTATTTTAAAACACATTCCCTTTTCTAAGAACACTCATATTAAGATTTGTGAAGTGTTTTCCCATCTTACTATGGAATTTCTTAATTCAGGTTTATCCTGGCATTTGTTCCCCACTACTCCTCTAGATATTGGCAAGAGCTTCATTTAGCATTGATATCAAGGGGCCACCTAATCTCCAGTGAAAAATAAATAATTTCTGCAGACCATATGTTTCTGAGAGACTCCACAGAAGATAATCTTCCTTCACAGTAACTTAAAATTTCAGGCTCTTGTATACTACAGACAAAAAAAAAAAGGTAGAATATTGTTGTGTCTCTCTGATCATGAAGCCCATGGCTGTTAAATCCTTACAATCCCTAGACTGAAATTTCAACTCAGTACCTGAAGGACAGTAAATTCATGCTTTAGTTTTTACTTACTACTCAGGAATGTTCTGATTTTAACTTCATTGATTATATCTTGAAATGCGATGGAACAAATTATTAGTTTAGGAAAGCTGAAGGGGGAGTTCACATGTACCTTTCTCCATTGTTTGCTCTTTGTTCTTCCATGAAAGTACCCATGTCAATTTTCTCCACTAAAGGAGGTTAGAAAAAGAAGCCATTTCTTACACTCCTCATTTAGAGGTGTCTCTGCATGCACAGCTGCTATTAATCTGTTAATTAACCACTTTGATCACAACTTGAAAAAGCCTAAGTGCTGCAAGTTTCACTTTAGAGATGAAATTTTCTGGTTTTCAGGCCATTTTTATTTTCTCGGCTTACGATTCAAACAATTCCTAATTCTGAAGTGTTAAGTACTTTTTGAGCACACAGTGTAAAAAAAGAAAAGTGAGAATTTAGCCACCTTTTTCATCCAGAATAACACTTCTTGTCTGGAAGTCCTGAAGCATCTTAATGCTTGATACCTTGTGTTTTCTGAGGGTTGTCAATAACCTAAACATGTTTTGTGCACCAAAATGCACTAGGAGGGCCAGGTAGTAAAAGAAAATTCATGTTGTGCTGCCATGTTCCTTGGAGTATTTGCACTGAACATTATCTGTGACTAAAAATGAGTGGAGTGGTTTATCTGTGCTGTTGTCTGGTGAGGTATTAAGACTTTATCATCCTGGACTGTTTGTATTTATAAACTCTACAGAGTGTAGCTGTTAGGAGAGCACAGTAAGCTGTTTATGGAAACAGGGAGGAGGAAATCACATGAAATCTTTAAAAGAAAATGAGGAGGGAGACTTTATTTTCCTGATATCTCACCCATGCAGTAGACTGACTTAAGTAATTGGTGGGGGGGTGGATTGTGTCTCCACAGCTGAAGATTTCCCTTTCCATGCTCCAAAGAAGCTTTGACCACTTGAACAGGACACAGAGCAGCAAGACTGAGAGTTAATAGCCACATCAGCTTTTCATTCAAGATACTGGAAGAACAGATGTGTGTGTGAGGACTTGTGGGGTAGGGACTGTAACTGTCTCCTCTGGACTCTTTACTGTTGCACAGAATAAAAGGTTTGTGGAAGAAGTAAGTCGGGTTCTGCATTGCCATAGCTTGGCAGTCTTGTCTCTCCTGCCAGCCTTCTTCCCTGGGGAGTTTCAATTCCAAACAGTGCAGAGCTCTTGGATCCATCCCAGGGTGAGTGAGTGAGGGCAGTTGTACTGCTGGTGAATGGATCTGAACATTTCAGAGGGAAAAACACCCTTGGCAGAGAACTAGGCTTGTCTCTTACAAAATTGCAGCTTTTTATGTCAACGTAGGAAAATGACCATCAGTGAAGAGTGTTTTGGAGAAAAAAGAATGTTAGTGGATTCACAGCCACAGGATCTTCATAGGCTTTTTTTAGCCTTGGGGACCTTGTGAAAGAAGTCACCATCTTAACGATGAATATGCCTAAGATTAATTAACAGGAAAAGGTTTGAGATCTCTTGCATACTGCAAGCTTTGGCAGGCTGCCTTCTGCCATATGTTTCCAGCTCTCCCAGAGAAATTTCAGCCCTCGGTATTTTCCCTCTGTCAAGGGCTGTGCTTCAGCGTGGTGTGCCCACTGATGATGAAACTCCTTTTCATGTGCTTCAAGCGTTTTCCAAGCAGGTTGAGGGAAGGAAGATGAATACAGAAAGAAAATCCCAGAAAATGCAAGGGCTCCCTCCCTCGAGTTTGGGCTGTGCTAGGAGGGCAGCGCTGGCTCGGGCGGTGCGCAGCCCGTGGGGCAGTGGTGCAGACACAGGTGTGGGGTGGGGAGGGGGGGTGCAGGGTCGGTGTGGGGGTGTGCGGGGGGGCAGCTTTTCCCGGGGCCGTGTCCAGCCCGGGCAGCGGGGGCGGCCCGAGCCCGCGGCCCCGCCCCGCCGGCCGCCACCTGTTGCGCTGCCCTTTAAGGCAGGTGCCCCCGCGTGACGGCGGCGCCGCCCCCCGCGCGCCCATTGGCGCGCGCCGCCGTCAGGTGGACGGTCCGGGCGGGGGCGCCGCCCCCCGCACACCTCGGGGCGCGCGCGGCCAATGGCGGGCGTGCGCTGCGGCGGGGGCGGGGCCGCGGGGCGGGGGCGGCGGCGCGCGCGGGGCACCTGAGGCGGCGGCGGCGGGAGCCGCTCCCGGCCCCGCGGGAGGGACGGGGCGGGCGGCGGCGATGGAGGAGCCGCTCTGCTGCTGCGAGTACGTGGACCGGCGCGGCCGGCGCAACCACCTGGCGGCGTGCTGCTGCGACTGCGAGGAGCTGGACGACGGCTGCGACAGGTACCGGCTCCGCGACCCTCGGGGGCCGCCGACTGCGGGACACCCTCCCGGCGGCGGCGTCCCCGCGGGGCTGCCGCCCTGAGGGCGGGATAGCCGCGCCCCGCTTCCCGGGAAACTTGTCGGGAGAGAGGAAAGGGGAGGCGGTGGGACGGGGCGGGGGGCGGGAGCGCGGCCGTCCCGGTGCCAGCCGGCGCTGTGCTCCCCGCGCTCGCAGGTGGCTGACGTGCAGATCCCTGCCCCCGGGAGCGCTGGAGAGCATCGCCGACACCATCGCGGACCGGCTGCGGGTCCCCTGGTTCTCGGGGGCCGTGAAGATCAACGTCAGCCTCGTGCCGCCGCTCGTCCTGCTGCCCGTCTTCCTCCACGTCGCCGCCCTGCACTTCCTGCTGGGGCTCATCGTCCTGACGTCCCTGCCCGTTGTGGTGCTGTGGTATTACTACCTCACCCACCGGAGGAAGGAACGGACTCTGTTCTTCTTGAGCCTGGGGCTCTTCTCCTTGGGATATATGTACTATGTGTTTCTCCGGGAGGTGGTTCCCCGGGGCCACGTGGAGCATTCCCAAGTGGTCACTCTCACGTGCGGGTTAATTCTTATGCTTGCAGCCCTGTCTCGAGCCAAGAAGGACCCTGGCTACCTTCCTATCCCAGCAGGCAACGAGAAGCCATCGCACCAGGGTTTGCACAACAAGAGTATTAGAGGGAGCTCCGGCGGGCTCCATGGCATCTCGGGCGCTGCCAGCAGTCGTGCTGTGAATGGGGAGGCTAAAGGTTATTGCAGCATGTCAGCTGAGCAGCCAGCAGGTGTGAAAAAGGACTGGTGCACTAAATGCCAGCTGGTCAGGCCAGCCCGAGCAGGGCACTGCCGGCTTTGTGGTAGGTGCGTGAGGAGGCTGGACCATCACTGTGTCTGGTAGGTTTTGCACGGCTGAGGCTCCCCGTGTTCTCTCTCTGAGTTCCCTCCTTTTTAAAGTAAGCTTCTTTTTTTACAGTCCCTGATAAATAGAGTTGCTTTTGCTATGTGCAAGACCTTATGATACTCTTTAAATACAAAAGGCTTTGTATTTACCCTTTAAAAGAACAGTTAGAATAACTGTTTATTCTAAGTGGGTTGAGCTGATAGCTGAAAGCTTCTACAGCATACTTCAGAATTGCTTTTACTTCTCTACTGTTTTTCATCAGTTTGGGATTGGTTTTGCTGTGGGTTTTCTTGGATTTGGTTTTTTTGCTTTAGACTTGGTCTGTAAAGCACTAGTAATCCTGCAGTTAAGTTGCATTAGCTCTGTCCTGGGGCAAGGGACCCCAAAGCTACCTTTTGGGTGTTCCTGTAGGGTGTAATGTATCTCAGAAAGGATACTACCCCTGCTAAAAATTTGATGCAAACAGTCTGCTGCTGTTACCCTGCAGGTCTATTGTCTTGTGTTTGTAACCTTTCTATATAAAGTTATAAAGTTTCCTTGAAGATTTTTCAAAGTTCTTAGCCCGTGTTGACTGCAAGTACCTTGGAAATCAGGTTCTCTGACAGCTGGGGGAGGAAGAAGAAATAGAACACTGTTTCTTTTCTTTTTTTAAGCAAAGTAATCTTTTCTTTCCTTTTGGAGGATTAACAGCTGCGTAGGGGAGCAGAACCATCAAGCTTTCATCCTTGCACTCTCCTTCTTCATGCTCACCTCTGTGTATGGGATTACCTTGACCCTGCACACCATCTGTAGGGGCCGAAGTCTGTTTGTGGCATTGTTCTACTGCCCCGGGGCCTATTCTGACTACAGGTGAGATGTCTGTCTGGGAGAGCTGTGGTGGGAGCAGGCTTGCTCAGGCAGCTTAGCTCCTGTTCCTCATTCTGCTGGTTGTCAGACCTGATCACAAAGTGTTCCCTAAAAAACTCTGGAAAGCAAAGATGTGTTTCTGCTTTTGCCAAGGTGGGCAGCCTGAGACTTGGAGAGAGCTCGCTATTTATGTTGAAAAAGTGGAAGGAGCTGGGATTTGAAGTATTTATTGTGTTATGTATAGATGTACTTTTAGATATGTTTACCCCTGCCTGATGAATGTAATGGTCTGACAGCTTGGAATCCACATGCTCTCTCTCTCTCTCCCTCTCATTCCTTACTATTTATCTAGTGAATGTCCTCCAAGCTGTCTGCCTAGAACATGCTCTGTCTGGCAGGGAAGGTGGTGGGAGCTATTGGACATGAGTTCAGAGACCAGCACTACCACAGATGGGCAGAGTACTGATCTTACTCAAGTGACTCTTCCTTCCTCTACTCCATGTCACGACCTGTAGAGTGAGAGCATCCTGGGGTCCTTAAGTGAGGCCTGAGCACCATTGCAACACAAAGAGTGAAGAGCTAGGTTGTGTGACAGCAATGTGTAAGAGTAGCTCTGCTAGCAGTAAAAGCTCTCATTAAGTAAACCATAAAGCTTTAATTTTGAGAAAGCCTTTAAGGATTATCTGATGAAAGCAGCAAAGTGAGATCACTGTGGCAGATGTAGACAGGGATTTGAAAGGATAGTGATTACCAGGGAAAGTCACTTTAAAGCAGCTGCTCCTGTACTAAATGGCTTCCTTCCCATCTTTTTCCCTGCTGCCAGCTCTGCTCTGTCGTTCACCTGTGTGTGGTACTGTGCCATTGTAACAGCTGGCATGGGATACATCCTCCTTATCCAGCTGTTGAACATCAGCTACAACGTGACTGAGAGGGAAGCTCGGCTGGCTCTGCGGGACAACACTGGGCGCAGGCTGCTGGGTGGGTTAGTGATCGACACTGGCCAGTATAACAGGGGACTCCTGTGCAACTGGGGCCACTTCCTGAGCCTGGGGGCTTCTCCTCCACAGCGCTCTGCCGAGGACATCGTGTGACACTCCTCGTTCGTCAGATGGCGTTGTGTCATGGCTCACTGACTTTGTTTAGCAGGGGAGCAGCCCCTCCCACCAGGACTCCTCCTCACACAACCTTTCCTCGTGGTCGTTATGTGGGCTATCCTCTCACTGACAAGAGCAGATGTTTTCCCCGGTGGAATGGTTCTTCACATGCTGTCAGCCAGCAATAGGATGCAGAAAGCAGCAAGCCATATGTGCAGGTGGGGAGAGGAGGAGCCTGCTGCCTTTTTCACCGTGGGAAACAGCAAGAAGAGCACAAGGTTTTGACAACTTGAGTTTCCCTTAGATGTGAATACTGGCATCAGGAGGAACCTGCTGCTGGGCTTCAGAGACTGCACTGGTTCCTGCAAGGGTTAAGGAATCCCTGGATTTGTACCTATGTGTGCCATTTTGGAGATGTCAGAAGAGTGAACTTTGGACACAGATAACAGATGGAGCCCTGCAGAAACCGGTCTCTTGGGCTAGAAGAGACTGTCTAGGCAGTCACTGGGCAGTGCTCTCCTCTCTGGTGCATTTATTTATTTATTTTTACTATCTCTGATTCCATCCAGCTGTGTACATGCTTCTATTAAGTGCCTTTGTGAGCTACATTCCTGTAGGAGTTTGTACGATCTCTTCACCTCTTGACCCCTAAAGTTGTTATTCCATCCCTGTCTGTCTAAATGAGTGAAAAGAGATCCCGTTGTTCTTTCTGCAAGCCGGGTCTGTATTGGTTTGAAGGCTTTGCTCATCTCCCTCAAAGTGTTTCTGCTCTGATTATGGGTTGTGACATGTGACAGCAGGTAAATACACCAAGTAAGGAGTTTTGAAGCAACATGTGAAGTGAACTTTGAGGGCAAAACAAGAGTGCTGTCTGTCTGGTATTACTGTAGCTTTACCTTCATCCTATGTCTATGGGAGAAGGGAGTCTGTGGGAGAGCAGGCAATTCTGCTAGCAGCATGTTTGGTAGGTAGCATCTTGGTTGTATTGCTGTCAGCACAGTGATCTTGTCTCCTCTCAGCCTGGTTACTGTGGAGCTGCCTGACTATAGATCTGATTTCTCAAGCCAAGAAACCAAGGAACAGATCAACCCTAAGGTACATAGGAAGAGATGGAGGATGTGTTGGAGGTGTTTGTTTTTGGGATAGATGACCTGTACTGGCAGGTAAATGAACCTGTTAAAATGTGCTCTGCAAGAGTGCCGTGTTTTCCTCATCAGCCTGCAACTGTATTATGGCCTGGACTCGAGCTTCAGCCAAAATAACAAGGTTTTGGTGGCAGTGGTTTCTGGATTTCAGGGTGGGATTTTTTGTGTTTTTTTTTTTGCTTTAAGCCCTGTATGTATGCTGTTGGCCCTACAGTAATAGGAGAGGTCTGGCTGGAAGAGCTGGGGACTGTAGCACAAGAATTTCAGGTTGGGCCTGAGTTGCAAAAGCAGAGATGGAGCTTTGTTCCTAGCTGTGGTGTTTTCAGGCGTGTGCAGTGTGCGTGGGTCATGCCTGCCCCTGAGTGCACAGGCATGGCAGGCAGCTGGGGGATGTTGGACTGGTGATGCACATTCACTGTGCTACTGTGCAGTAGCTTTGAAGAATAAATGGATGGTGCATGATGCCAAAAGAAGGCAGGGGCTGTCTGTTGGGATCCCTGCCATATTTTTGAGTGCTTCTCATGATATGTCCCAGTTTAAGGTAAAGACTGTGTTGCTTTTTGCTCTGTTTGGTTTCCTCAAGTGGCACATTTTATAACCAGCAGATAATGAAGGAGCAGCTGCATTTGGAATGTGGCTATACAGTTACTGAATTTCCCTTACTTCTTTCCCCTTTTCATCCAGTAAAGCAGTTCTTTATAAGGAGGTAAAGGGACAGCTCTTTTGCTTCCTACCTCTAACAAAGCACAGCAGAAAGTTCTGACTACTTTCTTGACTCTAATGTTAATAAAGAAGTATGCAGCTGGACTGTGCAGTGTTACTTTATGACCTTCTGTTTGGAGCTTGAAGCATGATCCTAGGAGTTCAAATTGAGACAAAGTTGCTTCCACTTGAGTTGTCTGTAAATGTTTCCATGGCACATATGTATATTGTGATGCCTGCTGAGATGATGTCAAGCTTGGCAACCCTGGAGATAAGGATGTTGTGGTCTAGGAGGATCTTCTTAGATCTTACCCTGCTGGCACTGAGGAAGATAAAGGCAGAAGGACCTCCTGGGCTAAATGAACCCCTGCAGTGGAGACAGCCAATTTGTCCATCCCTGTGTGCTGCACGCACAGGAATCAATCATGCACCCACAGGCTGAACAAGCTCTGGGAGCTTTTGCAGCTTTGAGATAAGTGATTTCTCAGAGTCCTGCTACTCCTGGCTGGGAGAAAGCAGAGCAGATCACAGGGTGCTTCCCTGACACTGCTAACCCTGTGGTGCTCACGTACTCCCACAGGCAGAGATTGGTTTCACCTTGCAGCCTGTCACTGTAGCCTTGTCCCTTAGTGAGTGGGAGGTTTCATCTGAGCAGCTTACACTGAGACTCTCTCTGTTCTCCCAGGCAGCGTGGAATTTGGACTGCAGATCGGAACAAAGGACCTGAGACTAATGTAACCATTCCATACCTTGGTCAAACATGCTCCAGTAGAGTGGGGGCAAAGTGCTAAAGTAAATTTCATTTTTTGCCCTGGCTCCAGCGGGAACTGAAACCATTCAAGACACTAAAAGATTGCAAGGGTGGAGTTTTTTTCTAGGAGGAAAATGCAGTGCTGTTTCCTCAGTGAATAGGAGGTTCAGGTGGCTGTAATCTGCATAGTAATGGTGACTGTTTCTTTAACATCATGGCATTGGTTTACCTCTTCTTCCTGAAAGGATTTGCTTTGTGAATGCATTGGGAGATGAGAAGCATAAAGTAATGGGATATTTTAAAGGCATGTAAATGGGCGGAAGAGTTTCAGTCCCTTCAGATGCATACGTGGGAACTCTCCTTTTAACATCCCTGAGAATTAGCAGGAAACCCTTGGAGGGTAATGCTTCCTTTCCAGTTATTGCGAGGGCAAACTGTTGTGATCTGGCATGCTCAGGAACAGTTTATTCTCTGAGTAATTTCCTGTTGAGCTTGGTACTGACCATGCTGGTAGAAAAATGTTAAAATCTAGGCATACACAGTCAGTCCTTGGGCACCCTGTGTTAGTAACTGCTTAAATCCATGCTGCCTGGGGGTTGGAGCAGTGGGAGCAGCCTGCATATGACAGGGGACTTGTGGGTTGTGTGTGGCCTTCAGGCAATGACCAGTGTCTCACCTGTAAGCTGTATGCCTGGCAGTGCAGAAAACAGTACTCTGCTGGCTCTTGATCATTTTCCCTGTGTGTGAAGAGAGGACCTAAAGCTGACCAAGAGCAGGGAAGGATTTTGCTAATAGCCAGCCCTGATGTTTTTCCACCCAGACTCTGAAAGTTAGTTTATCTTGCTTTACCCATGACCTTTTAAGAGGCATTTGTTGTTTCACAAATAGTGTGGATTTCTGCAGACCAGGCAGCTCTTAGGGGCCCAGGATTCTGGTTTTGCTGGTGTTGTAGTGTTACACCCTCCGTGTCCAAGTGCCATCACCCCATTGTTTGGTGTCTGTAGTAGGAACAGTGCATCATTAGATACATCCTGTAAGTGGTGGCTTGGCACTCTTTAACTGTCTTCCTGCATTGTGCTTTTTTGTAGGCGAGTCACAGGTCCCCACGTTGACTGTTTCTCCATTTAACTTGTCCTCAAATGACAAAAGTCACTGGTGAGCCTGAGCTGGTGCTGCTTGTGACTCCTAATCACATTTCAGCCTTCATGCTATGATGGTGCTTTTTTTTCCCTTCAAAGTAGGTTGCTTTCAAGTGTCTTAATGAAACCATTTGCTGTAAAATTTCTTCTGAAGATAAAATGGATACTGCCTCACTGCCTAATGTCTTAATAATGTGCTTGGTTTTTTCCTCCTATATGAATGTATATTGCCTCATTAGGGCAAGAAGCGTGTGTGATTATGGATGTGTTTTCCTGTATTCCTTTCAGTGAAAAATTCTACAGTTACCTAGGATTTATTTTTTTGCCACTACCAGGAGGATCCTGCAGCAAAAATCTGTTTGCAGACAGGTGAGCTTCTTTGTGAAATGTGGGAATTCAGCCTCCCAAAATCTTGTCTTTATGGAATTCCTGTACTGATAATGTGAAGAGTGATGGGCTCTAGAAGAAAGTGGAAAGTATTTTTTTTAAAACCTGAGTTTTAGGAAGAAATTTTGTGAAACATTTGTGAGCTTTTTTGAAGAGACTGATGTGTGTATGTTTATGTCCATTTTGCATCATGTTCAGTGTTTCCAAATGGGTATCAAATGAATCAAAATAAATTAATGGAAATGGTCTGTGGAGTGGCCTGTTGATTTATGCTGACACATGCAGGCAAGCTGAAATATCAAAAGCTGCCACTACCTCATGGGTATTCAGCTGAGAGCTGGACTTGGCAATAAGGGAGCAAAAGGTTAAGGAAAACTTGGGAAACAAATGTATATCCAGTTCTGCAAAGGTTGACCTTTGGGTTTGTTGGTGGTGAGATGAGAGACCTGCTGGCAGTTCTCAGCATCCTAGAGACATTCCCTCATGGTAGCAATTCATCCTATGAGCAATGAATTATTATCTGAGCAAATTCCAGGCCTTTTTATCCTGTGTCTTGCTTTCCCTCTGACCCCTGCCCACATAATACACCCAGAACCCCAAAAAGGAACAATCTCTTGCTTTAAACTCTTTTCTAAGCCATATTTGGAAATTATATAGTATATTCTCCTTGTAGATAGTGGGAAGAGATGTAACCTTTAATTCTGTTGGTATCTTGGGACTGCTGCTGAAAGTCAAGATAACTTTTAATGAGTAGGCTCACAGGTGCCTTTGATTTGTTGTGGTACTTCTGTCTGCTGCTCAGCTGTTTGTTTGAAGGTAACTTTGCACTGCTGACAGCAAGGACCTTCCAGCAGGGTTTTAGTTGGATGAGACTGGTGTTTGCAGAAGGTTGTCAGACTTGGAAACCCAAGCATGACCAGCTTTAACTCCAGTGCTGTTGATGGGGACACAAGAAACTTCTGTCTCCCCCTAGCTTTTATTTTTTTCCCTGTTGTGGCTTGCTGTGCTGGCCCTGCAGAGCAGGGCCATGCCTGGGATGGCAGCTCCTGTGCTGGGAAGGCCAAGGTCCACTGCTGGGGCAGGTGCCTGTAATGGATAACAGGTTTGCAAATATGTGGGCTGTGTATCATGCTGCAGTAGTCCATGGACCCTTCCCAGGCTAACTATTGTTCCTCCCTGCCTGGGGGGAGGAGAGGCAATTGTTTATTATTTCAGGCACCCTTTCAGATCCAGTTTGTGCAGGGCCTGGGGGAATTGGAAGTGACTGGTGTACAGATTTAATGAGAAGATGGTATTTCTGTGGTTAAGGTTTTTGGGAAACTGTGTTAAAATGCTGTAGGGGCAGGGGTCTTGCTAGAGGATGGGGAGTTTGCAGTCACTTCAAGGTTCTGTTTTTGCTGTTGTACTGCAGTAAAAGTCCTCCCCCCACCCCTGTGCAAGAGAAGGAAAGCCTGGCTGTGCAGCCACCTCCCTCTCTTGCTAAGAAAAGCAAGGAGCTGACAGGCAGGAGTGTGCCTGAGCTGTGAGTGTGGGCTGATGACCAGCATTAAGGCACTGACATCTGCATCTAGCCAAGTGTTGGAGCAGGAGGAATGCTCTGGCACGACTGCAAGCTGAAGCTGTTCCCTTGGTCTGACAAGCCCTCATGTCACTCTCCTGTGGGAGCATAATTTGCAAAACACCAACATTGTGCCAGGGATTTTGGGGTATCCTGTGCGTCATCTGGCATGGCCTTGCTTCTGCCAAGGAGATAGGAGTTGCTTCAGCCAAGTGTGCATCAGTAAGGAAG